AGTATCTAAAATAAGTGTTGCGCCCATATGCCTGGGCAATTGGTGATTGCTTCCTGTTACAGGACGATAATGCAAGACCACACAGAGCTCGTGATGAGATAGCTTTTAACTAAATGAGTTGTGCAAAGAGTGTCACTTGAATAAAAAAAATTTTTTAAAAAGATTCTAGACCTATATATACTATGAATTATTTATATTTTTGATTTTATTTTTCATGTCTCAAAGAATTTTCTTTAGTTTGCATTAATGTGTATAGTATGTATTTCCCGCTTTTATTTTCAATTAACAACCTTAACATTTGAGCCATTGAAATATTTTTGGTTGGTAGGGAATTGCTTATTTTTGCTATTTCATCTAAAATATGTTTATAAAATAAATTTTTGTTTAATCAACGTAAACCCACAAGAGGATTTGCATTGAAAGAATTGTAAATATTGTAGCAATTCTGCATGTTAACTCTGTTTGTGATAAATAAAAAAAGCTTTGTACCGCAGTGGGCTGATCGTAAAGATATGGTTCCCAGTAGAACACCGATGTCGAGCATCATTGGCTGCGGTCAGTAAGTGGGTGGGTGACTAGTTTGATCAGCCTGCTTAGGGAATGAGGGTACGTCGTATCAGACCTGGTTGAGGTGTTAGATTGTGAAATGCTCGACTTCGCACGCAGGTCATCGGGCTACCAAAGCAGGGGAGCCATCTCCTCTGCAGAGGATCGAAAGCGATGGAATATCTTTGTATCATCCTCAGGGATGTTTCCCAGTTCATTACCAATAGTTCATTGTGCAGCTCTAGTGCAACGTAAATAAAGTACCTACCTGAAAAAAGCTTTATAGGAATGTTAAAATAATTTTTATTGTATTCTTTTTAGTAAATTACAGTGTAGTGTTATTAAAACGTGATTATTTATAGGAACGCCTGAATAAAAATGAAAGACAAAGGTTTCGAGAAGAGGCAGAAATGCTGAAGGGTCTACAGCATCCAAATATTGTTCGCTTTTATGATTATTGGGAAATGGATCTGCCACCTAAAGGAAAATATCTAGTATTGATTACCGAACTTATGACTTCTGGGACTCTGAAAACGTAAGCACTCTTTTTCTTTTCATTTTACACTCATGATAATGAGAAAAATGTTTGTGAAGTATTAGTACTGTAGGTAATATATGTTAAAAGTGACACTGAATTAAAATTTTAGGAAATTGGATTTTTTTTCTGTAAAAATTTTCAAAAATTTTACTGTAGTGTAAAAATTAGTTTTCAATCAGTTTTAATCATATCTTACTTATTCAGTTTTACTGTTTATGAAGATTGTAGATTTGTATATCTTTTCAAAAGCTGTTCCATCTATTTTAAATATCGAGCTGTACAATCTTTTTCAGAAGATGATCTTGGGGGGGGGGGAGAATGGATATTACAATTTGGGATGAATTTCATTCAGCTGATAATAACCTACTTATTGTGATAAGAACAATATCATTTTGTCCTAAAAATTGCTAGATAAAGTTGTTAAATACTTCTGAATTAAATAACATTTTAAGTTATGAAAACTTAGTTTTCTTTAATAAAATTAAATTATGTATAGCAGCTTTTTAACTGAGTCATTTGTAAATTAATGTTCGGCAGGTAAGGGATTTCACATTAACCATTCTACTTAGACTGCTGGTTGTGTACCCAGGGTTGGGGTTTTGGACCGAACACGCAGGTTTTAATGTCCTAAACTGACTAAAACTTACCTAAACTGTCTAAAACCTTGAACATTGGTAAAACGTAAAAATTCTATATGTGTAACCATTAAACGCATAATAATTACATATATTAATAAATATTTGATGCATTTTTTACAATTTGCTTTATTAAAGGAAAATAATATAATTGGAAAAGATTTATAACTTTTGAAGCTCCACAATTCAATGAACAACAAAAGTGAATACCTTATCCTTTAAATACAAATAAATATGCTTTTAATACAGATAAATTATGTTTTGCATAAGGAATAATAATGCAATATTAATAATAATGATAAACTTTTTTAATAAAACAAAACTTGTCTTCATTATGTTTCGTGTTCAAAAACTAACCTTTTATTTTTTAGAATATTTTTCTTCAATTGTGACATAATTTAAATAAAAGATTTTTAGACAGAACAGTTTAAACCCTGATTAAAACCATAGATTAATACATTTTGTCCTAAACGTTGCCAACTTTGATTGAAACAGACTGCTGTCGTGACAGATAGCAACCTGTGTTACTAGTATCATCTGTTTGTCAAAACAAATAAATGAGCCTACTGTTTTCTAGTAGTCAGAAAAGGGTCAGTATTTTTCCTAACAAGGAATGAAAAAAAAAAGAACATTTTTTAATACCATGTTTTAAGCAATCGATTTAATAAAGAAATAAGTAAATTTGAATTATTTTATCTGAACCTTATTTGAAGCTTACTAATTTTGAATTAATTAGTAAAATATTTAAGGAAAAAATTAAGAGCATTTAATCTAATTAAAGGATAAATAAAAAAGTATCAAAATAAAGGTTAGAAGAAATTTTTTTTTTTTAAATTTTAGATTGAAAACTAGGGGTACACACAGAGTTGGCAAGGCTTAGGATAGAATGGATTAATCCACGGTTTAAAACGGGGTTTAAACTGACTTGTCCAAAACCTTTTATTCAAATTATGTAACAATTAAAAAAAATATTGTGAAAAATAAAATGTTAATTTTCGAACTTGAAACATAATGAAGACAAGTTTTGTTTTACTAAAAAAGTTTTTTATTATTATTAATATTGCATTATTTATTCTTATGCAAAACATAATTTATTAGTATCAAAAGCATATTTATTCATATTTAAAGGATAAGGTATTCACTTTTGTTGTTCATTGTATTGTGGAGCTTCAAAACTTATAAATATTTTCCAATTATTATATTATTTTCCTTTAATAAGTTAAAGCAAAGTGTATAAAAAGTATCAAATAATTATTTTGTGTACAATGGAATATAGAATTTTTACCTTTTACCAATGCTCAAGGTTTTGGACACTTTAGGACAGTAAAATCCACCTGTCCCGTCCAAAACCAGTTTAGGACGTCCAAATCCCCAACCCTGACTTACAAGCTAAGCACATTCCCCAATACACCATAAGTCAGTCTGAAAGTTAAAATGAAACGTAAGGTTAATTTTAATTAGTATTTCTATTTGTCTTAACTAAATTTGAGTTAATAATTTATTGTTTTATTTCTAGTTACCTGAAACGTTTCAAGAAGATAAATATCAAAGTAGTGAGATCTTGGTGTAGGCAGATTCTGAAAGGATTAAACTTTCTACATTCTCGTCAACCTCCCATCATCCACCGTGATTTAAAGTGTGATAATATATTCATTACTGGTACCACAGGAGCTGTGAAAATTGGAGATTTAGGATTGGCCACTCTAAAGAATCGCTCTTTTGCTAAAAGTGTCATTGGTTAGTTGTCTTTAAACTTAACTGAAAGAACCAATGCTTCATAATACATGTCAAAAATTACTCTCAGTGTTGCTAATAAAAGGGCGTGCTGAGTGTTTTACCGGCTCTGGGTGAAATATTCAGGCATTTTATTAGAGTTGATCAAAGTCATGTTTTATTTAAATATATACATATTAAGTATTGGATTTTTTTTAAATTTCAATCAGATTTTTAAAAAAATTCTTTTCTTGTTTAACGATCAAAACGCAGATAAAATGTATAAATAATACTGAATACTATTTAACAGCAATACTGCAACTGAAATTTTTAGCACCACCAATAGTAAAAAATTTAATATTTTTATTTAATTACAGCATACTAATTAAGGAATAAATGAAGTCAGTTACTTTTTTCTATCAAACTTGTAACCTTAAATGCATTGAAAAGGTCAACGTTAGAAGGGAGGGTATGTTACAAATCTGCATTCTCAATTCTCAATAAAAGCCAAAAAAAAAAAAAAAAAATNCAAAAAAAAAAAAAAAAAAAAGCTACGTCAATTTTAGAAAGTTTGTTTTAATTGCTTCCAAATCATTGGAAACTCTTCTTTAGGCAGTCTAGAAAATTACTCAATATTTGATATCAAGGAGATTTTAAAAATTTTTTTTTTTGGTTTTCTCGAAAGTGCAGATTTGTAACACACCCCTTTTAATATTGTTTTTTAGTACAATGTTAAAAGGGGTATGTTACAAATTTGTCAATTTTTTACTTCAATTGTAAAGAGAGAGAATAAATTTGTCAAATGAAAAGTAAATAAATTTATTTATTTATTAAAAATAAATATATTTACTGATAGGGAATCTGCTAATTATTTTTCATACTACAATGAGCACATTAAAATATGAAAATAATGAAATATTATCATTTTAAAGCTACACTCTTATCTGAATTTAAGTGCTTGAACAGAAAAAACATTCTTATTTTGTTTTTTAATTTATCAACCTATTCCTCTTAAAAGAATTAAACAGGGTGCATAGCATTTTTAAAAAGTACTTAAAGGTGCTTATTTCTGATTTGCATTTTTTAAAAGCCCTTAAAGGTGCTCTTTTTTTATTTATTCGGGGTTTGTTTAAAGTGCCTTTAAAAAGAGAATTTTTCTTTGCCTTGTCGATTGTAGTCATAAATTGCAAAAAATGCATGATTTTTTTATAATTTTCTCTGCAATATTTATCAGAAACTAATTATTTTATCATGATTATGTAAAGGTTTTGAAAATGTTTTCGAATTTTATTGATCTTATGTTTATAAATTAAGAACTTTAAATGATAGAAAAGAATAATTTTTTATTACTGCACAAATCCTAATAAAAAATTTTTTTTTTGGAAAGTGATTAAAAATATTTTTGGAGTGCTTAAAAAGTGTTTATTTTTTGTTGAAAAATTTGGTTACGTACTCTGTGAAACATTCTATTATCAATGAGATTTGATATCAATGATTTATTATCAAAGCATATACATTGTATTAGAAAATGCAGTATTATTATATTTTCTACTAGTTTCTCTAGTATTATATTTTCTACATAAATCTATGATTTAAAAAAAATTTATTTTTGTAAAATGTTCTTGAATTATGTCAACCCTTTTTTTTTTCCTTCTTGACATCCATGGCAGTTCTTGGGGATTGCACTCACTCATAAATGGGCAATAATTGCAATTTTTAATATAATTAATTTCCATGACATCAAAGTTAAATTTATGTTATTATTTTAAAAATTATACTCCTGATATAAAGGATCATTAACTGAAATGAAATCAGACTGATTTGGAAATATAAATTAAAATAATTCGTAAGAATGATACATCCTAGGAATCGGAAAATATATATCCAAGATTCAGCAAATGTAAGGAAAAAAATTATAATATCGCTTACAAATATGACTAAGTTAATTATAATGCAATTTTTATAGATTTTTGGGCAGCAAAATTGTTTATTTAAACAGAAAATCTAAAGTCAATGAATCATTCTCAATGATGCCACGATGAAAGGCGGACATCATTGATCTCAAATATGCTTTTATCAGTTTCAGTTTTGAAAATGAATAAATGCAGTAGTAATGACTACAGGAACAGTAAGAAATTTAGCATACTCTCAGTAAAATTGTTTTTACTATGGTATTCACAGTCCTTTTTAAAACTGGAAACCTTGGTTCATTGACAGTAACTAAACGGCAGGATGAATGCCAGGTTTTACCTGAGTGATAATTCCAACTCCCAAGTCCGGTGGTAGTGTACTTATTTGAGGATTATTTTCATGGTCTGGTACATTCGCATGTTCTTTCTAATGAATTGAATATTGAGGCCTTCAAGGATATTCAGAGATTCTGGCCAATTGGATTCTGCCTAAGCTCTGGCAACTTTACGGAATGGACGAAAGCTACTTTCAAGATCAGGGATCTGTTTAGAAGAAATTTAGGTCCGTTAACGGACCCTTCACAAAATATCTTTTCATAAAAACGGACCCTTCACAAAATATTTTAACTTAAAAACGGACCCTTCACAAAAGGATTTTTCTTTTAATCGGAACCTTCACAAATTTGTTTATCTTCATTATTATTTTGTTAATCGAATAAACCCTTTCCAGGGCAGAAAACAAGAAAGATGGATGTAAACGAATTAAGTTTTGTCTTCAGCAGACGATTCTTCCATTATTCGTCCGAAATTAATATTCTGCGTTCAGCAGTATAGGCTAAATACCAAATAATTGTATGTTGCATCTCTAATTTAGAAGAAGCAATTGCTGTTTATTTTTTAAAATTTAATTTTTTTAATTATAATTTTACAGTGTTGAGCATAATCTTGTATGTCTTTACAATTTAAAAACTCCTTGAAAAAGTTTTCTTTTTGCAATAACGGACCCTATTTGCACAAATGCATAAAAGCGGACCCTGGTTAAAAGAATGAGAGTAATTTTTTCACAATTTCACGAAAAACGGACCTTTCACAAAATGTCTGGACAGACCCCTGAAGATGCCTTTACCTGAGTGTATAATTCCAACTTTCAAGTTCAGTGGTAGTGTACTTGTTTGGTGAAGATGGCAATGTCTTCTTTACAACCCTTAGTGGAAAGATCTTTTAACATGCTTCCACAATAAGTGGCTAAAAGATAAATAACAACCTTTTCTTCTGGGAAAGAGATAGAACTAATTTATAAAGAGTTAAAAAAAAACTTTCTCAACTTGGCAAGTAGAGAGGAAAACTTGTAACATAAGTGCATTAAAAAGTTGTGAAATTTTAGTGGGCCTGAACGGCTGCTCAGTTAGGCTACTCTTAAGCATGGCCTTGATGCTACAATGAAATATAACTGTCGATTCATTTTAAGACAGCATGTATTAGATTGCATTTTTTACAAAATTATAAATTGGGCCACAATAGCTCAAGGGATAGAGTGTCCGGCTTCCAATGAGGTGAACCGGGTTTGAATCCCAGCAATGGCTGGTCGATGCGAATCTGTATCTGGCTTGCACAGGCCACAATGTTGACATCAATTATCCTCAGTAGTAGACGGATCATGAGTTAGTCCCTTTGCTATCATTCTAACCAGGGAGAGTTCTTGTGGTCTTATGTTTCTCCATGTAATGCAAATGCGGGTTAATTCCATCAAAAAGTTCTCCACAAAGGCAAATTTCTCCCAACACTTGATCCAGGAGATCCCTTGTCTTCTGGATTGGTTTCGAAATTACAAGGCTACAGAGTTGAATATTGGTAGGTTATAAAAAAATAATAAATAATAATAATTTATAAACTGTTATTAAATTCATATTAATTATTTACTTTATCTGTGAAGTAGAAACCAATGTAGCTGAATTTTTTAGTCAAAACTTAGCCAGTATTAAAATTCTTATTTTATTGGTATTTTGCTAACAGTTCACCTTTTCCAATATAAATTTGTTCAAAGCATTCATTTTAAACTTGAGTGAAATGCAAGATTTAAAAGATATTGTAGAACATTAGCTCACCCTTCAACGAGTAAATGTATTTTTTGCACCTAATTTTTATTCATAGTTAAAATTCAGAAATAGATATTTCATACCTATATTTTCTAACTGATAAGTAAACTTAGTATTTTAGTATATTTAGAATTATCTTATATGTTCCCTATGTCATTTCATATAAAATATAATTTTATGCGGACATACATACCTGTCAAGTCTCCTTTTTTTTTAATGATGACTCCTATATTTTATGTCTATCTCCTATTTACCCGTATGTGTTGAAGAAATTTAAAAAAAAAAATTTTTTTTGCCCATAAAATATTTGCTGATGGCAAGTATTCTTCTCTTATTACTCAACAGATGATGTTATTGCCAGTATTGCAGCATGTTGAGTGTTTATAGTTTAAGTAAATATAAATAATGATTTAAAAAAATCTTCTTTAGATTAAGATTTATATACATACTTTTTACTTCGTTAAATGTAAGTGTTTATATTATTTTGAATTTCTCTTTTTGACTTACGTGATGTATCAAAACTTTACTCGTAGCCTAAAAATGTCCCTAGTAAAATCTCTGTTATTTTATTTCTCCAACGTTAGCAGGTATGTACGTGAGGGAAATACCAAATAATTTTTCCCTGATTACATAAAAGGTCTGTAGTAGAATTCTATTTAAAAATATTACATAAGTTTACTGAAACTTGCCACAAATTTCTCACCCATTTTACAAAGTTCTACATCCTTACTTTTCAGATATTTAAATTACTTGGAGGCACTTTGTTTGCGCTAAGAGCTATGGGTCATTGTAATTTCCACATGTAGTGCAAAAACACTGAAAATCTTCCTGCAATTCTCTGAACATTGGGGGGCAAAAAAAAATGAACAACTCAACTTTGCAAAAAAAAATTCTGGATTATGTCTTTTGACAAGGTGTGTAACATTTGGTAATTTTTTGGAGAAAATCTGAGATGTTATGAATTACCCCATAATGTCAGGTGAGACAGTTTCTCAGATTCTTGCTATTAATAACTTTATTGCTTCAGGAGAATTCCTTTTTTTCGTTTTCACTGATCAAAATCCTTCTAAGCATATGATCTTAATCATTTATTTATAATGATTTAAGTCATTGGCACACTAATTATTTATAAATAAGTGAATTAAACACAAAAATATTTTATTAACAATTATAATATAAATAACCATTAATAGGTACTCCTGAATATATGGCCCCAGAAATGTATGAGGAGAAATATACTGAATCCGTAGACGTCTATGCTTTTGGTATGTGCATTTTAGAAATGGCCACATCAGAATATCCATATTCAGAATGTACAGGACCTGCTCAAATCTACAAAAAAGTCACCAGTGTAAGTTACTATTTATTGTTCTTCTTTAGGCATTACACATTTCCTAGCTTTTAAAATTTTGTAAATTTATTTTCTTAATCATTCTTAGCCCAATTATTTCATTTTTATTGCATAATCACTAGTGTTGTCTAGTAAAAGTATTCTAAATCTTTATGGTAGAATTTAGTGTAAATATTGCTTACTAAATAGCAAAGTAATTTTTGTCAAAACAGAATTAAAAAAATTTGTTCAATCATTTTTAATATTGATTGGCATGGCCTTTAAATATTCAGCAAGAAAAACTAGTAGTTTTCATTTAATCATAGTGTTAGTTCAAGTTTAACAAAATAATTTCTTAACTGGAGCAAAAACTCCAACTAATAAATAAATTATATGTAATATTGATACAAAACATGTAAGCAATAAGTGTATTGATTGAAAATATTTTAATTAGTTTTCTCTTATTATGTTCTTTTACAAGTTTTCAAACCAAATGTTTTTTTGTTTTTTTAATAAATCTAAATTACTTGTACCGGCACTTAAAATTTTTGTAAAATATTATATTGTCTATACTTTTAGAATTTTTTTTTTCTTTCAGGAATTCCTGAAAATACATTTTTAACAATTTAATTTATAATATAACTTTATAATTTTTACATGTCAGTTAATAACTTTTTAGTAATCTTTATTTTATTTGGATATTGTGCCTATTGTCAAAAATGCACTAACGGGCCATTCTCCTGTTATGCACGAGACATTTGCAGGCCTTTGAAGTTTATAAAAATAGTAAAATAATGGGGTAATTAATTTTTTTTTTACAATTCAATTCAAAACAAGTCTGTTTCTTAAAGACTGCATAGAAAAGAAATAAAAAATTAAAGTTTAAATACTTGAAAAGGGATTTAATATAGTCGTTATGCACGGGACTCAGAAAAAAGATTAATTTCTACCCTGACNAAACTTAAAAAGTACAATGCTAAATTTTAAGAATTGATTCCATAGTAAAAATTTAAATATAACTATTATTGTATCTCATTTTTTTAAGATTTAACCTATGTACTTTATTAATGAATAAATTAAAAATATGTCCAAGTAAGATAAAAATTGAAATTTAGAGTGTTTACAGTGGAGAATGGCCCTAACACTATAATAGTAACTGGCAAAATGTCTGGTTTTATTTAAATTTTAAGGAACCACTAAGCATATTTTTGTGGCAAAGTAAGCTTTTCCTTACACTCTTGTAAAGGGGAAAACATTAAGATCGTTAAAATAACTAATTGTCTGGTAATTGTCTAATAACTGGTAAAATAAAATATTTAAGTTTTAAACATTTTTAAAAGACTCCTGTGGCAGAATTTTTTCGAGCTATCTGCAATGAAACTCTCTAGCACTAATATATTTCTGCAAGATACTTATAATAATAACGAGCACATATGTTACTTATTTAAAATAAAAGCGCTGTGTTGACAAAAAAAAAACTGTATATATTTTTTTCTAATTGAACATGTAATAATTTTTTATTCTAATATTATTGGTGATATTCTCACATTTTGTTGGGAGGAACGCACAAATCATTTCCTTCGTTGCATTTTGTAAATAATCATCACAATAAAAAGATAATTAAAAATCAGGAAATCCGTAGTAGTAATTGCCGAAAAAAGATTGACAAGGAAACTGCATGAATCAGACTTCTCAAATGCATGTTTTGTTTGGAGATTAGGTTGTTGTAATAAAAAATATTGGATTTAAAAACTGCAGCGAAATCAATGGCACGAACTGCCAAAAATTCGATAGAATTATTGCCTTAAAAAGTAAATACTCAAATGCGTGATTCTAATTTTCCATATTGTTTGAAATATATCAGGATATTTGAAATCCACCTGAAAATCAATAACTGCCTAAAATACAAGTGAAACATTGCATCAATTTACGATACTATGGGCATAAATTTATGATACTATCTGTGTAAAATAATTGCGTCGAAAAGGTATTATCTGAATGCATGATTCAAATATTACATGTAAATTTCTGAAGAAAGGAAATTTTTTTTTTTACTTTTCAAAATAAAAATCATTCTGCAAGAACTCTGTAACTTTCTGCAAAAATGTCGCCAAGCCACGAGATAAAAGACTATTTATTTAAATTATTCTGTCAATCTATTTTAATTTAAGTTAATTATCTAATTGTTATCAATAAATGTTACTGAAATGATTGAAAATCACTATCAAATACATATCATGTGAAACTGGATTGATATTGAAACATAAAATTGCTTTTTTTTTAAATTAGGGTATTTTGCCTCAAAATTTTAAGAAAGTGGAAAACCCAGAGCTTAAAGAAATTATTGGAGTATGTATATCTGCCAAAGATGATAGGTAAGACAATGAAGTATATATTATAAATTGCATGACAATTACAGTGAGTTACAAAACAAGTGAATTACAAAAAGTTAGTAAATAATTGACAAAAGTATTACTCATATCTTGTGTACTTTTTCTCATATTATTAGTTTGCTTTTGTAATTACAGTCGGACTATCATTTAACAAAGTTGCTGAATCCCGATTAAAAGTTTGTTATTTTATAAGTTTGTTGAATAAAGAATCACCACTTGAAATACTTAAACAATGCAAAAGAAGTTTTAAATTCATAAACACTAGACATAATTAAAATAGCAGCTGATACACCTTTATCTTGTAAATTATTATTTACTATTGAATTGTTTCAAGTGATTTTATCATATAAAAGTTTGGTGATTTCTTCATCATTTTCGGCTTAATCTTCTTCGTCTTCCTCAGAATTTATTGTTGTATTGTTTTTATTTTTTGACGCTGTTCAAAATATACGATTCAGTTAATGTTTCTGTGGTTGCAGCTTCAGAATGAATTTTTAAAAAAAATTCATTAATCAGTACATCATCATTAATTTCAGTGTTCTTTCTTAGCTATATCCATTTTTTTGAAGTTCTTCTAAAGGAATGCCATCCTTGTCCTCCGCACTTTCCAAATTCTCTGCTCTGACTAAGAATATAGCTTTAGTAAAACTGTTACGAATAGTGCAATCTATAACATCATAGTTCCATGTTTCAAAAATTTTTGTTATGCTTTCTTGTAAATTGCTTTTTGGCATGAATTCCTGTATGAAATGCAAATAAAAAGAGATTTTACCGCTTTCTTTAACAGTTAAATGGCTGCGAAAGTCAATTCAGGTTCAATTCCCCCTTAAAAAGCGTTAACAAGTTTGAATTGCTCCAAAATATTTTGGGAAATATGGATCGCTATTTGGAAGTTATTTTACTAAGAAATTTCCAAAATGTTCTTGATTCCTTGAAGAAAATCGCAAAATAGAGAAATTCGCAAAATGAAAGTTCGATAAATAGAAGTACGACTGTATCTATTTTATAATTGTTTTCTATAATTTTGTTGTTTTGTTGTAATATTTCTTCTTTATTTTATGTAGTGCTATGATCAAAGAATTTCGCTTCTAATTTGTACATGTAAATAACTTGAATTAATTGAGTACTATTTTTTAAGCCTAGTGGGTAATGCTGGTAATGTCATGTGTTTTTAGCCCTTAATGTGAAAACCCTGCTAATTAGTAACTTCATGCATGTAAAATAATAAACTAAATAAAGCAAAGTTAATTTTGTGCTTTAAAATATTAATATTGCATTAAATTCATTTAAAATCTGATTAATTTTTTTGTTACTTAATAAAACTGTTTTGGATTAACTTTACTATTTAAGTTCTTATCCATAAGTTCAACTCTTATCAATTTCGTGACCCTAAGTTCTTATGAGTTTCATACACAAAAACAGTATAGCATAAAATGTCACCTAAAAGTTGAAAATAAAAAATTAATTAGGCATTGCGGGAAAGTAATTAATAAGTGGAAGAACAGAGATGCCCACTGCTAAACCAAGAATGGTGCATTAAAAGACTACCACTCGAAAATATCTTTCAGCTGTCCGGAGCAAGTTGGCCTTTCTGAGAACACGTTGGTATGCATATTAATTAATGTTTGAACATTAGTTTTAGAAAATGTAACGTCAGCAGAAAAGATAAAAAATTAACCTTTTTAAAAAAATGCAGTTTTGTCCCTCCTTTTAAGATCTTAAGAAATCACATTATCCGCCTTTGTTTTATTCCAGAGTTGGCAAGGTTTAGGACAGAATGAATTAACAAATGGTTTAAACTGTCCTGCCCAAAACCTTTTTGCTAAATTATGTCACAATTTTCAAAAAAATATTGTGAATAATGTAAGGTTAATTTTTGAACTAGAAAGAAAATGAAGAAAAGTTTTTGTTTTATTAAAAAAGTTTAGTATTATTTTTAATATTGCATTATTTTTCCTTTTGCAAAAAGATAATTTATCAGTATTAGAAGAATATTTAAAGGATAAAGTATTCACTTTTGTGGGGCTTCAAAAGTTATAAATCTTTTCTGTTATATTATTTTCCTTTAATAAGAACTGTTAGGAAGTGCTTCTTTTGGCATTGATCAAAGCACAGTTGCCCCCTCACCTATTAAATCTGTACAATCTTAGAAAACATGCCAGTCTTGAATGCAAATAAATCATTTAAAAATGTTCTTTTTACTCATTGCTTCAACAATTTCACTAATGTATTCATACATATTCCTCTTCACTATGTATTGGAGCATTTCAGATCATAGCTTTCCATCTCACTCTTATTCGTAGCCAGATATTTTGCCTCCCTCCATGTCTTTCCTACTGTTTACAATCATCCTGCTCCAAATATTTTTATTTCTTCCTCTTTTTCTTTTCCCCTGAGGATTCCAATCAAAAACTTGTTTTACTTTAAATTTTCCTGGTTTATGTCGATCATAACACCAATCCATTTCCGTTTACGCTTTTTAATGTCCAGATGAATCGGTTTCTGTTTTGCTTTTCTAAGCGTTTCTGTATTACAAATTTTATAGAACCAACTAATATGCAAGATTCTTCTTAAACAGTTGTTAATAAATACTTGGAAGTTTTTTTCATCTTATTTTTATTGCAGTGCCATGTCTCAGATCCATATACAGTAGAGAACCGATTATCCGGAACGATCGCTATTCCGGATAACTGATTTTTATGGTTTTCTGAATCGCTGCAAACAGCCGTTTTTTTTTTTATTGCTAAACCCAACTAAAAAAAAAAAAAATTTTGGAAATAATCTTAAAAAGAAGAAAAAACAATGAAGTAATACACTAATGATTATTTCCAAAATGATAGTAAGGTAAACATCTTTAAAAAAAGAACGAAAAATCCTGAAATCTTACGAGGAAAAAAAATTTTTTTTAAAAGAAATGGCGGGAGAATTTATCGAATTTCATTCCGGTTTTTTGGTTTTCTGATTTCCGGATAACGGGTTCTGTACTGTACTAGTTTNTCCCATTACAGCTTCAACTTGGAAAAGTTTTCCAGTTTCATATAACATTCTTACATTCCAGCACCCAATTTTGATTGTCGTCTTAGCTGGTAAGATAGTCATCTTCCTGTTTCCTTCGAATCGGTTCATTGCACTAATAATTCTTTTCCTTTCTTTTTTTTAACATTTTGCTTAACTTTTGAACAAAATTTCTAAACTTTACCTGTCCCTTGACCATTTATATCTATTATACTCTGAAGAAAATGATAAAGCAAGTAATCAGTGCCTTCCATATTTCAAAGCTATGAGCTAGTTAAAAGTGCTTTACATGTTGACACAGAGATCATCAGTTCTAAAACCTATAGAAAATGAGATAAAAATCCAATTAAATTGTTTTTGTTATCATTAATGCAGGCAGTTTTCTTTTCTTTACGAAACTACTTTTTTATCCTTATTAATAATGATTTAAGATGCAAAAAACTTGACTATTTCGTATAAAATTGAATTTTTGTTTGAACGTTTAAACTTTTGCTCGTGTTACTTATTAATTTATTTATTTATTGTTATCATCTTAGGCCTACAGTAAAAGATTTGCTGACGTATGAATTTTTCCAAGAGGATTTAGGCTTAAAAGTTGAATTTGTCAACAAAGAGGAGAGTATTCAGAGTACATCAACTAAAGTTGAATTATGGTTGCGCCTCTTGGATCCAAAAAAGAGGAAAGAAAAACATAAAGAAAATGAAGCCATTCAGTTTGAATTCGACATTGAAAGTGATAATTGTGATGAAGTTGCTCAAGCTATGGTAAGTAATTGCTCCTGCATATGGGCAGTTTTCAAATGGTGACAGTATTACCAGGTCACAGCGTAGTGTTTTTAAAAAGTGATTAAAGGTGCTTATTTTTTATTTACGTTTTTTTAAAACACCTTAAAGGTGCTTTCTTTATTCGAGGTTTGTAAAAAGTGCTCAATTTTCTATCCTTTAAAAAGGGATTTTTTCTTTGCCATATCAATTGCCATTGTAAATTACGAAAAATTCATGATTTTCACAATTTGAAAGTTATCAGCTGATGTGAAAAAATGGCCAGGGTTAAAAAAGTTTTATTTGATTGCTTCTACAGCTATTTCTGAAGGGTTGATGATGTAGGCAGAAAACAAAACTAAAGCCCAGTTTTTTTTGTTGCCCTGAGCAGTTGTCTAATCACATCACTATTTTAAAAACTCTGCATTCGATTCATCTAACAAGAACTTATAGTAGCAGCTTATTAAATCTTTTTTTTCTGACAGCAATAAAAAGTGCTGCGAGGGAGGGAATCCTTTCGTGACTTGATTTTTGTGTAGGCCTCGAGTTTCCCAAATTTAACACTCTTCATGGTCTAGATCCCGCAGTGGACTGATCATAAAGATCCCTTATAACACTGAAGTCAAGCAACACTAGCTATGGTCAGTAAGCCGGTGAGTGACCACTTGGATCAGCCTGCATAGGGATAGAAGTTGCGCGTTACGGATCCTCGTTAAATTGTTCTACTGTAAAGTGCTCGACATCATGCGCAGTTCGTCGGGCTACCAAAGCAGGGGAGCTATCCCCTCTGCAGAGGATCAAAATTGCGACGGAATGTCTTCGGATCAAAATTGCGATGGAATGTCTTCGGATCAAAATCGGATCATCCTCAGGGATGTTTCCCAGCCCATCATGCAGCTCTAGTGCAACGTAAATAAAATACCTACCTACTTTCATGGCCTATCTTAGCAAAGGAAATTTTCATGTTTTTGGTGGAGAAATTTCTTTTTTCATTTGTGGAATGGGAATTTAAAACAATAATATGCTTATATAAGCTGCTGGGCATAATTCTCATTTTTCCTTTGACCAATGGGAGACACAGGGATTAAAGCTTATGGCGTATTGACGGATTGCTTCTTTATTGGATTGCTGATGATCATTATGTTTACCGGTCTTAGACTCGGTTTCTCTTACGATTCCATTATTTAACACTCTGTGGGCAACTGTATTGTTATTTTATGTAAATTCTAATGTTTGTACTATGAAGCGCTAGCATACTTGGATTACAAATATGTGTAAAAACTATTTCTAATAATGAATAATAAAACATACAATTTCAGAGTATTCTTTATTAAATCTATTCAAATTTCACAACACAAAACCTTTGGGACAAAAGGCTTTTCTAAACAATCTTTTGCTGAATATGTGGTCTAAAATTCAGCCGACCAAATACTTGGCAAAAGGGTCAAATATTCGCTACATCCCTATTATAGAAAGAATGTTTAGTTAAATTATTTCAGCAGTTCTGTTATCTTAAGGCTTTCCTAGTAAGCTTTAATTTTTTTAATGCATACATCTAAATGAAAACAAATACAGTACAGTGATAATTATTATTTGTTCTTTTTTTGTACTATTTTTATGCATAAATGTGATGTAATCAATCTATCCTTAATTATTACTTATATATATATTTTTTATTTAGGCAAAGAATAATATAATTTTAGATGAGGATATTAGAACTGTGGCTATGCTTGTACGCAATCAAATTTCATATTTAACTAGAGAACGTTTACGCTATCAGAACAAAATGGCGATGCAAGAACAAGTTATTCCTAGTCGCCCTTCTCAAACTTCAACGCAGATGCAAAATATGACCATGAATAATCAAACTATGCAGCAAGTTCAAATTTCTATGCCTCAACAATACCAAACTAATGCTAATCAGCAGCAGTCTGAAACTCAAATGATTCATGAAATGTACCCTCAACAAATTTACCAAACTCAAATGCAGCAAATGCAAATGCATATTGCAGCTTCTCAACAATCTCAGTACTCTACACAAGTTGCTGAAACTCCAGATTATCAATCTCAAACCATTCATATACAAATACCACAACACCAAGATGCCTCTACTCAATCTTGTCAGGTGCAGCAATCTCAAGCTTCACAAGTTTTACAGCACGGACAGACACAAGCTCCTCAAGTTATGCAGCATGGACAAACGCAAGCACCCACAGCTATGCAGCATGGTCAAACGCAAGTACCACAAGCCATGCAGCATGGGCAAACTCAGGCCCCTCAAGCTATTCAGCATGGACAAACTCAGGCGCCACAAGGTATGCCACATGGGCAAACTCAAGCTCCTCAAGTTTTACAACATGGGCAAAATCAACCGCCTCAAATTATTCAGCATGGGCAAACTCAAGCTCCCCAAGTTATTCAGCATGGGCAAGCTCAAGCACCTCAAGTTGTACAGCATGGGCAAAATCAAGCATCTCAAATTTTACAACATGGGCAAACTCAAGCAAATGTAATGCAATCTGAATCTCAGCCTCTTGGTCAACCTCAAGCATTTTCTCATGTCCAGGTAACTAATGTTTCTGTACCAGCGTCAGCAGCCCAATTTCAGAATCAAGTACTTCATACTCAGTATCAAATCACAAACCAGCCCATAACTTCTCAGTATCAAGGTACCAATCAACAGTATCAACAATTTCAGCAAGTTTCTGCCCAAAATCAAATGACTACTCCTCGTTATTCAAATCAAATGCAAATTGCAGGAACCCAAGTTTTATCCAGTGACAATACTATACCTCCAGAACTCTTACAAGCTCAACTGGCGCATATAATGCAGCCTGTGAGTGGATCTGCCATATCGAGTCAGTATCAAATGAAGGGGCAAAATTTACCACTACAAAATTTAGCGTCAGTACCTTCCTCTAGCCAGTCTTCTCCAGTTATTGCTTCTCAACAGTTTTCAGCTCAGCAAGTAACTGCTCAGGTTCCAGTGTCCAGAGCCCAGAGTCCTCAAAAGGTTGTCCATCCGTCATACGCTACCAGTAATGCTTCTATTATTTATTCGCAAGGACAGCCACCAAGTCCCCAGAAAGTTTATTCTCCTCAGCAAAATATTGTCCCTCATCCCACTTCTTGTGATCCAAGCCAAAATACTAACTGGGTAGTGAATCAACACATGCCAAATCAGCATGAAAACTTTCCGCCTCAATATCAAGAAAGTGTCTCTCAAATGTCTAGCTCGCAAGACTTGCAAAATTCTGCTTACAGTTCTGAAGGTGGTGCCCAAGAAACTTCAGAGCAATCTTTGAGCGCCCTGCAAGATGCTATGTCTCGTCAACCTTCCTTGGAATCTGAAGGTTTGAACCCTGAAACTCTAGGGGAACATCACACGCAAGGTAAGTTAGCATTTGTCCTTAAGTTAGATTTATAAAGAATTTTAAGTGCATTATGTTTGAATTGCTAATACTCTTACAGGTCTATTACCTGAGGTGGAAAAAGTACACTTAATGGAAAATCAATTGAACTTTGGTTCTCAGGTTAGATCATGAAATTTTTTTTTTTTTTGTCTTCACCATTAAAAATATACAGACGGACCTCTATTTAACGAAGTCGCTAAATCCCGATAATAAGTTTGTTATATGGAAAATTCGTTAAATAGAAAATCGCCTTTTGAAATACTTAAACAACACAAAACAGGTTTTAAATTCATAAACACTAGACATAATTTTTAAAAAAAATTATACTTTCTTTATAGTACAGTACAGAACCCTTTATCCGGAAATCAGAAAACCGGAAAAAAATTCAATAAGTTTTCCCGCCATTTTTTTTTTTAAATTTTTTTTTCCTCATAAGATTTCAGGATTTTTCTCTCTTTTTTGAAAGAAGTTTACCTTACCATCATTTTGGAAATAATCATTAGTGTATTACTTCATCGTTTTTTCTTCTTTTTAAGATTATTTCCAAATATTTTTATTTTCAGTTGAGTTTGACAGTAAAAAAACGGCTTTTCGTAGTGATTCAGAAAAACGGAAAAATCAGTTATCCGGAATAGCGTTGGTCCCGATCGCTCTGGATAATCGGTTCCCTACTGTACTAATCTTTTATCGTGTACACTAGAATCTACTATTTATTTTATAAATCTTGACCATAAAAGAAATCTGCATGGAAACCGAGAATAGAGCAAAACATTATCCAGTGTTACACTATCATGCTGCATACATTTTCAACTAAAGAAAGATAAATATATGTATGAAATTATAGCTGCGATTATTTTAAAAGTAATTTTAAACATACATTTCCACATGTTTTCTTAAGTTTAATTGATACTGATAAAATCCGTTTTGTCTGCGTTTTTCGTTTGAAATGCAAACAAAAAGGGAAAGGGATTGTACTACTTTCTCTAAAAGTTAAGTAGCTGCGAAAATCAATTCAAAGTCATTTCCCCCTATAAAATAAATGTGTTAATGAGTTTAAAAGGTTCTGAAATATTTTAGGAAATAGGAAAAATGGATCTCAAAGAAAAGTGTGTTAAATAGAATATTCACTTCACTATTTTGAAGTTATTTTACGAAGAAATTTTCAAAGTGTTCTAGTTTCCTGGAAAATATCGCAAAATGGAAGTTCGTTAAATAGAAGTCCGACTGTAGTTACTTTTTAATTATTACAAACTTTCAGTTCCCTTTTTTTTTCTTAACTCATCTCTAACGTTGTGTTTTCTGGAATAATAATTCATGACCCAATATTAAATCTTTCAAACAAAATATTGTGTCTGTAAAAAGTTGTTGCAGCTCAGTTACAGTTACAAAATGTCTGTTTTTATTCACTTTCTGTTGTTGTTACAACTGCTAGGCAGGTTTGATCCAAATTGCGACTGACAAATTTTCAGGCCAAAAAGCCTATGTATGATTGTTTGGAGAAAGTAGATTTTGAGTATGTTTTGATAATGTTTGATATATGTTTGACAAAATAAAATTCAAAATTTATTTGTATAATTAATATTATATTCAATATAATACAGATATTTCTTGAATTATTATATTTTTGCAAATTTTAAATTTAAAAAAAATTCTCTTTCGTTTTTTCCTAAAAAAAATTTCCTAATGAACAGAAAATGTGAAGCAAAATAAATTGTAAACAGTGAGCAGTTAGTGTTTAATTAATTAAAATTAGCGTTTTCCTCCATTTTTTCTAATTTTTCAGGTTGCAATAACATTGCCTTAAAATATTGGAATTCTAAATACTACTTACAAATGCATGACATTAATTCCAAAAAAAAAAAAAACAGCTTATATTTACTATTAAATGATCGGAAATAAATAGTATGAAAAAGTGATTATTTAAATGCATGTTTAGAAAGTGTGTCGTAAAAACATCATAATTAAAGTAATGGAATTGTTAAAATTGCGATTAAATCAGCGTGAATGAAGAACATAAGTAAGTAATTAAATAAGTAATTAATAAGCATGCCATAATAAAAATTGGAATTTTTAAAATCATGTGGGAATGAATCATAAAAAATTTTTTGAAAAAAAACTGGTATTTACAATGAGATCGTAAATCAAAAAAAAAACAAATCCAGTCAAATTGTAATTATTTTATTGTGCAATTTGAAATTCTCGTCTCGTTGTAATATCGTAGCAAAAGTATGGGAATTTTAAAATCCTGTGCAAAAGTATAGCAATAATTGCCTTTAAAAAAGCAATTAAAATATTTATTATAAAATCAGCACAATTAAAGCGAGTCGAAAAGTAATTACTCAAATTCGAAATTCGCTCATCGTAATATTGTATTAAGAATTTTGTGTTAGAGAAACAGCAGAGATTTACAACATAATCTGTGCAAATTGAGTACATCAAAAAGTGATGACTCTAGTGTGCAACTAAAATTTTTCATTATATATTTTATTTTTCAACAAACAAACAAAAAAAAAGCTTGTTTTGAAGCTTCTGCTGGCGGCATTAGCCTGAAGGTTGTGCACCCCTAAGTATATGTTGCTTATACTTACCATACCTTCAATTAAATTGCAATCCCCTGTTTCAAATTGATTACTTGATCTGTTTCAAAATTAATTATCCTTGCCAACACAATCATACATTAAATTTAAAAAAATTATACTTATAATCCATGGTGTTGTATATTTTATCTGTTATATTGAGCATGCATTCTTATTCAACTGCTTAAATGAAGAGATTTACCCTGAGAAGCAAGAAACAATGATCAACAGGGAAACTGAGGTTCAGGAAAATTTAATCTGATACTTTTACTGCAATATTAGTGATTACATTAATTTTAAATTATTTTGAGAAATTATAATCTGATGTAGATATGATTTAAACCTTAAAATTAGTTTAATAAAATATTTATTACGAATTAATTGTTTCGATTTTACACTAATAGTTATGTTTCTAAATTTCAAGAAACAATAAAAAAAATTTGTTCACAAAAATTTTATTTGTTGCAAGGAATAGGAATAACTACAAAAAAGAAGAAAAAGTTTAGACGTTTCAGGTAAAACTTTGGTTTGAAGCATTAGTTTTATATACACTTTTAAACCATTTTAGGAAGTATTCAATACAAATGAAAATTTCATTTTTAAATATTAATTAGTATTTTTATCAAAAAAATTTTTTAAATTTGTTTGCTTACTCATCCAGTATGTAGCAGATTTAGATTATTTTGTTACTGCTTTGTTAATCTAGCATCATGCCTTTATGTCTTGAATTGTTTAAAAAATAAGTTTCATAACCAAATTTTTATGCCTTAAATGTTAATCAATCATTGTATATCATTTTAGACGTGTACGGATCAGATGCAGCCAAACAATAATTTTTTACCAGTTCAACAAATGCCACCCATTAATATGGAGTCTGCTGTGCTTCCTCCAGATGGTGAAATGTCATCACAGAGTCAAGATTCCAGTCAGTCTGTTGGAAGAGGAAAACCTTTAGTAGGTTTTTGTACTTCTTTTACCAATGTCTCTGGTGGACCGGTTAACCTACATGATCCAAATTATGCACCTCAAAATTTCACTGTGTGGAATAATAGATCTACTTCTCCACTCACTAGGACTCCTTCCATGTCAAAAAAAGCTGTCACCCCTACATCTAGTAATGGGTCTTTACCTGGATTTAATTATAGCAACCCCCAACGCGATGGTTCAATTTCACCTGTGTATTTTGTCTTGCAGCCATCCAGTAACATTGGTTCCCCTCAAATTGTGAATTGGCAAAATGATGCTGTTTTGTACAGTGCCACCAATAATTCTGTTGCTGGAACCAATGTTGCTCAGTTTGGTTCTCTTAATGATTCTCGGTCTTTGTCTGCACCTTCTGCATATGGTGTTTCTGTTCATTCACAGGGGAGTTCTTGGGTTGGTTCTTCGGTGAATGCTCCTTCAAATGATTCATATTTGACAAGTGGTGGGAGATACACTAAGTTTGTGACCCCTGGTGGGAGTAGGTCAACATCTCCCTTACCATATTATGCGAATAGGATAGATAACGATTCTCCTAGGTCGACACCTCCTCCGCAAATGTTCTCTCCGCCTACTAATTTTTTGCATCCAGATTCAGGTTTTGGTTTCCCCGTTCTTTTATCGCCAACTCATTCTCCCCCATCGACTCCGATGCGCACTTTATCTCGATGTGGGACACCAGTTGGCAGTGTTACGGATCTTTCTAACCAATCACATGACTTTCAAAATCAAAACGCCCCATCCAATTTTCTAAACAATTCTTACAAATTATTGCCTCCTTCATCTCAATTGCATAGAACACGTTCCAGAACGTTCGGAGGAGGTCAGCCTAATATCAACATTCCAGGTGACCAATGCCAACCTTTGTCAGCTATACCAACGTCTATCTTAAACCAACTGGCCTCATCACATGGCAGTCGTTATAATAACAGCTATACTGTCATCCCATTTGATCGTTCAAATAGACATTCTCCCATTCATTTATCTGGACCTTTTGTATCTCCTCAATCCTCTTCTCCGTTGTTTATGTCTCTCGCGGTTGAAAATAGCCGGAGAGCCGGTTTGATGCATGGAAATGAGCGAAGTATGAGCTTAGATGAATGTCCATCTTTTCCTCAAAATTACAATTTATCACCCAATACTGTTGTTCATCCGCAGCATAGAATGAGTGAATGCTGTTTTCCGAAACCAGTAGCCACTGTTCCTGCCTTTTTGCCACCTGGTTCAAGCAACGTGCAGCGCCCTACAACTCTAGGCATTAGAAATGTACTGTACGGCAATACTGCAAACACCTGCCAAGTAAAGGTACCAGAAGTGTAACCTTAAATCTAGGACAATTCTCCATCAAATGCATGTGCTTTGTTGCTTTTGTTTTGTCGTCTATGCTTACATATATTTTTCTTTAAATCAACAAAATACTGTGATAATCAATTAATCATTTAAAGGTCAGGAGAACAAATTACTTTTACACCGATTTTTAAAATATTTGGATTGCTTTTTTTTTTCTAGCCTCAGCTGGACTATTGAGAAAGACAAGTAAAAAACTAAGTGATTTTTTTTTACTAAACAATATTTACAAACATTGCTATTTTTTAAGATAGTTGCCATAGATATCCAGGCATTTGGTATATGTTTTCTTTGTTTTCTAATTTACTATTTAAAAAATATTTCTCTTGAATAATGTAAGATGGTTATGATGGATATAGATGTTCCTTGTTGTTCTGGAAACTTTGGCTTTTACACCAGGTCAGTGAGTAGACATTCTCATTGACAATCCATTTTGTCAGGTATTTTTTTAATAACGGCAGTTACTGAACTTTTGTTCTTTGCTGTAGAAGGTACCGGAAGTGTTGCTCATTTATCTGGTGGGCACCTGGGAACCAAAATCACAGAAGCGATCAACATTACCCATGCCACACTGCCGCAGATACCCGTTCATTGGTTAGACCATGTTCCTATTCACACATCACACTACAGAGAAACATCCATACCCTGAGCGGGATTCAAACCCACAGCCATTGGCTTCTTAGTCAGGCATGCTAACCACTCGGCCACCTGGCTGGCTTTATCAGGAATGTGATAAGGGGCTCAACAATATTCCTAAGTTCTTTGATTGTCTGAAAGCTTTAGCTTGAAAGCAGTATTATGGCCAATCTGACAATGCTTAGAGAAGGTGGAACAATTGAAAGGGCTTCTGTTTAGTCTGGTGTAGGAGTTAAAACCATCAAATACCAGGGTGCATAGTGTTTTTAAAAAGTGCTTATTTTTTATTTAAGTTTTTTAAAAGCCCTTAAATGTGCTTTTTTTTTTAAAATTGGGTTTTGTAAAAAGTGCTTAATTTCCTATCTTTTAAAAAATTTTCTTTGCCATATCAATTGTCATTCTAAATTACGAAAAATGCATGATTTTCATAATTTTTTCGGCAATATTTATCAGAAACCAGTTATTTTTTTATCATGATTATGTTAAGTTTTTGAATTTTATTAATTTTATGTTTATAAATCAAGAACTTTAAAAGAACTTAGAGAAAAAATTTTTTTATTGTTGCACAGATCCTAGTTATGATTTTTGTTTTTTTTTTGGTAAGTGATTAAAAATATTTTTTGAGTGTTTAAAAGGTGCTTATTTTTTGTTGAAAAATCCGGCTATGCACCCTGGCTAACATTACTGGCAACAGAAAAAGTTAAACATATGCCAAANTTTTTTGGTAAGTGATTAAAAATATTTTTTGAGTGTTTAAAAGGTGCTTATTTTTTGTTGAAAAATCCGGCTATGCACCCTGGCTAACATTACTGGCAACAGAAATTATTATTATTATTATTTTTTTTTTTTTAAGTTAAACATATGCCAAATTGCTTGAGTTTTAGTCCAATTATGTTAAAATGTTGTTCATATTGTTAGGTAATAATAAAATCATTCTATTCTTCATTTTTATCTTACTTCTATTGTCCAATAAAAGTTTAAAAAAACAATTGAAATAATTACTTACTCTTCTAAATTCTATGTTTGTTGTGAAATTATCAATTAGGTTAGGTATCAGTTAGGTATTTATGTATTTAAAAAACAAAAATTAAAAAAAAAACTTTATAAAAATTTTATTAACTTCAATAGTATAATTAATATGCAACATTTATAAAAATTCTAATGCAGGTGCATAGTTATGAATAATATCACTATGATTATTTTAGATATTGTATAGATAATGTAACCAAAATATACTTTTATGTGTTGTAATAAATAAATTAGTGGAAACATATTTAAATTTTAATGCTAATCATCAATTTAAGCGGCATAATTTATCATAGATTAGACCTGTTTAAACTAATCTGGTTACAAGCTAATTGGTTTTTGGAAATGAAATTAGTAAGGAACTCTAAGTATGAGATTTTTAATTATGAAATTGAAAATATTCCCGTAGTTAAAATTTTTCCCATAATAAAACTTCTTCAATTATGTAATGTAAATTATTTTTAAATTTGTTCAGACGTTACAGTATTTTGTTGATTCTCTGGTTCTTCTGGCTATGGGCTCTTTTTCTTAACTTGAGGTGAATCTCTCTCTCTCTCTCTCTTATTCTCTTTTTCTATCGGTGTCTTGGGATTATTCCTTTTATTTAAATTCCATTTCGTCTCTATATGCTCATGAAAAAAAATAAAAAATGCTAAAATAGGATGTTGGGACAAATTATCAGAATAATATATATTTTTCCCTTTAAAACTTGAATTCTGCTATTTTCCTTCCATCTATGAATAACTTTTAAAATTTAAAATAAAATAAAAAATCGCTAGATACTCCAAGTAACGCCAATATTTTTCTTGATCTGAATTATATTGTCGAATTATGATGCTTATGTTTTGTTGTCAAATTTAGCATCTAATTCTTAAATATAATTTGTTACTTAAGATACTATACTTATATGAATATTTCATAAATGTTTCAAGAGGTGAACTGCAGGTGGAGAAGTACATCTTCTTGTTGAGCTTATGCTTTAAGTTTACTTCTTTGTGGTATTAGTCATGTTTAATGTTCTTATATTTATAATTTTATTTAATTTTACAATGTACATTGTGTTTCAAAAAAATATAATTGAATATTTTCATTTTTTTCCTTCAAATTTTTTTATTTACATAAAGTTTGAATATTTACTCTTTTAATATGGATAAAATCTTACCTAATCCTTTCGACCCAACTTTTGTAGAATTAAAATTTAAGTATGAAAAGCAGTTTGTTAATGCTGACGTATTAAAATAAGTATACTATGAGTTTTCCACTTTTTCTGGAAATCTCCTGGAACTATATATTCGTCTTGAATATTGTAAAAATACCTATATATTGCATGGGAATAAATAATGAAAATATTATAAATACATCGAATTATTTATTCTTACCAGAAGTCATCTAACCAAAAGTTATAGAAACCAGAAGTTGTCTTTATAAAATAATCAAAATAAAAACTAAAATTCTGTCCTATAATATTTTTATCACTAATGAGATATATTATCCCATTGGTAAGTATGATTGGGACTTTGTATCCCACCAAACAAAATGTGTCAAAATTTTAAATCTGAAACTAAATAGGTACAATTATTACTTCATAAGAACAAACATAACTATTTTATACAAAATATGGCAAAAATATAGTTGTACTTACCTCAAAACTCAGAAAATACTTGAATTAATACGAGAATGACTGGCAAGCAGAAGTTCTGAAAATGAGAGTGTTGTCATGTTCCTTTAGTCATATTTTTATTCTGTAATGCCTAAAGAACCTTGAAAGCATGCAAAATTGAGGTAATAACATTTAGTCTTTTGTGTGTGTATATCGGGTCGAAAGGGTTAACGTAAAGATTTAGTTTCATTGATAATAATTATAAAACTATAGTTATTGAAAATTCAGTATTCTTGTAAGTGTATGCTGAGAGAAATTTATTTGTTGCATGGAGGTGAGTACTATATTCTCAATTAACACAAGTATTCGCATTGTTCTAATTCTACTTATAAATTATGCATTAATTTGTATTATCATAATGATATAGATCTGCTTTAGGTTGCATTAATCAATCAAAAAGATGGAAAAAATTAGTTTCCTAATTTTACTTTATGTTTTAATAAGACGGTTAAACTTACTATGTGAATTGTTTCTGTGATAAAGCTTTTATTCTAGTAATTTTTGAAACACTTTGTATATTTTTTAATGTAAAATTTGAATTACTAGAAGCATTGTTGATAATGGCAAATAAATTAGAACTTACGTTCAATAATTCTAGTTAATTTTTTATTACTATTTTAGTCCTAACTCTTTGCTTCAAGTAGTTTAAATTTTTAAACTAACCGTGTCCTAGATTTTACATCTTAGTTTGAATTATTTCTTGCCCATATTGATTTACTGCTAAACAAACTGGTTTAAATTTTTATCATGGATAGAATAATAGTATAATGTATCAGGCTTAAAGAATAGTGTGAACACTAATAGAAATTGTATTTTCCTTATCTCTCTTTTTCTTTATATCAACGGTAGAACATAAAGCCCCTTTTCATTGCTTTCAGAAAGGTGAATTGTTAAAAAATTTTTACATATAAATAACACCATTTCTGAAAGGTTCAAGGTGGACTAATAATTTTGTTTTATAAAGTTTTTAGCGTGTTTCAGTGAGGCCCTTTATTTTGTTACATACCTGTGGCTGACATAAACCCAATGATGTGTGCTTCAACTTTTCTGAATGCCAGTTTATGGAGCAATCCAAATCATAGTATATATGTGGCATCAAAATTATTAACTTTTTTGATGCAAAATTCTTTTATCGGTATTTCAATTAAAATCTATTCCATTACAGATACTGTTAGTTATTTTACATAAAATCATTTTTTTTTGCAAAAAAAAAAATGGAATATCTCGACACTTCTACCTTTCATTAAAATTAACCGAACTCATTAAACTTTTTTAATATGGTTATTGCTGTAAACGCTTTACCGATTCAGACCTCTGTTCACTGGTTTTGTGACACGAAACTCGAACTGCAAGTAACTTGATCGTACTCCCAATTTTTTTAAGGAAGTTATTCAAATATATAAGCTCAGATTGATTATTTTTCTACCTAAACTTTGAAATTTTTTTTATTTTTCGAAATATTCATTTCTTTTGAATTGATCAGTTGTAGCATGTATCAAGCATTTGCTATATAATGTAGCTTTTTTTAATTTTAAGACTAAAACACAGTTTTGCAAAAAAGCAAGAAGGAAAATATTATTTTTGTTTATCAATAATGCATTCTGTCCTGAAATTTTACCGCTTTTTCTAAGAAAACAAAAAAAAAAGCTTATTTTGCCGATTTCACTTTAATACACAATTTTATTACTGAAAATTATCTTCAGCTATTATTATTTCGGTTAGTTTGTAAATAAATAGTTTCTTCGGTACTTAGCTGTCTCTTTGAATCATAAGTGAGAAAACTGGTTTTTATGGCAGGGAATTTGTAAAATGGGAATGTTAAAATAATGTTATTATTGTATTTAGTCATTAAATTTTCAAGTAAAAATATTTTCTATGATCTCATGGTATGTTCATAATGAAGTAAAACCTCCGAACAATGGTCCCTGGTGTGCTTAAGTAACAGGTGTTAAGATGTAGCTGTTTTGCATGCATTATCAACGAATTGATTGTAAAAAATGAAAGAATCACAAAGATATTTAATTCCCTAAAATAATGATTTTAAAAACAATAAAAAGTAGATTTAATTCACCTGAATACTGATCCACTTATAATCTTTTTTATTTTATTTTAAAAGATATTAAATTTGCGTTTTTCTAATCTCACGTAGTGTAGTCAGCTTTCGTGTTCTTATTTCTTTTTTACTGTTCTCAATAACTGGCTTTATACTTCAGTGTAAAGAATTTTCACTTGCAATAATCGCTCATTTTTCGAGTATTCATTTACTAAGTTCTTATTCTACCAGGGTCTAGAAATTAAAGAAAGAAAAAAATGAAATGTCAACATATATTGCGCAAGTTACTTTTTTTGTACATGCACAAGCAATTTCTTCAAATTGCATCAAAGGCAGTAGACTGAATGTAACTGTCAAACTGCATTCGCAATTAACAGTATGAATGCTTAAAAAATATTTTTTTACAAGAACTGGGATACCATGACCATTAAAGAAAAATATGTTTAGTAACTACAAGTTATAATATTGTAAGCTAAAGATTAAAAAATTTATTAGATTCACCTTGAAATAAAATACATACTTGATACAAAAGGAGTAACTGTTACTCGGAAATGGCATTTCAGAAGTTTTTAATTGATGCAAATCCAATAGAAGAATTTCGGTAACATATGGCCGTTCTTCGGAGGTTGCCATTGTTTAGAGGTAGTCATTAAAGTAGGTTTTGACTGTATAATATTTTATTTATGCATGCAATCATTTTTAGCACCATCTGTAATGTAATAACATTACTTATATTGATAAGTTTTGAACATTTTACTTAATTTCACGCATGTATAATGTAGCCTAATCACATTATTAAAGTACAGGCTTATGTATTAGTAGTGGAAAAAGCATTACTTATTATTTATTATGTGTGTAATAACTGAGTTAAAATTATTATATAGTTAGTAATTATAGATAGTGTGAATGGACCAGGTACAAAATTAACAGAGAAGTACTATATCAATGAGCTATTTTTTGTTAATAATATGCATGAAAAAATATCTTCACTGTTGTCCAGCATGATTTGCATGGCACTCTGCTCGAATTTTTGCATGTTTGTGTATGATGGAGTTAAATCATTTGTTGTTTGCATGTATTTTGTTTTGTTACTTCAAGGCTGAACTAGATCAGTAACTCAACTGTTACGTATCAGTCTGTCTCTTTTTATTAAAATGGACTGTCACAAGAACAATGTTGGTAATGCCTTCTAGCAAACAATAGCTGCGTGTTACAGGCAGTCAATATTTCTGGTTATATCTAGACTAAGCCAATTTATGACTGAGATATTTGATTTAAAATTTTAAAATACGATTTATAATATTTAAAAATTTATGTCTTCCAATTTAACTTTTAAGTATCCCATGAAAATATAAAGCTAAAGTATATTTTTATAAGTTAAAGATGTTCTTTATAATCACTTATGCATCTTTACTTTTCTATTGTAGCAATAAAACCATTGAAAACATTTAAAGTAACAAAGAGAATTTTAAATAAATATTGTTTTATTTAAAAATCATTATTGTAATGAATGGAATAATTTTAACTTTTTTTACAAATCCAATTTCAAAGTTGTTTCAATTTTAAGGCTACTAATCATACTTAATATTTAATTTTAATATGGTCTAGAACATCGTACATGCAAAACAATGGACAGATCTTTCTACACAAAAAAAGAAGAAAAAATCCCAAACATACAGTAAAAATGTTCTTAACAACATTAAAATATTTAAGTTAAATTCCTTCTTTTATAACCAAGGCAACACTTTTCTTAATGTTGAAATTTAATGTTTGATAAATGATCTTGATTCTGCCCCATGCATAACTAAATATGATCTAAATAAATTAAATTTATGTAATGAGCAGACCTGTATACGCACAGTTACAGTCAAATTCAGCCTTGGTTATTTGAGTGTACCTTTTTTGTTGTTAATTATGTTTTAATAAACTTATTGATCAAAGTAATATCAAGGTAAAATTATAGTAACGTTTGAAAATGTTTCATTTTTTAAAAACAATGAAATTTCTGTGGGGTTTTTTTTCTGGTATATTCACTAACTTGCAAGCATAATTATCTTTTTTTATTGTCAGTTAACCTTTATATGAAAGATTCTACTATTAAAATTTAGGTTGTCTGTGTTATCGGTGAATCCTTATGATAATTTTTGTTTTTATTTATCATTTTCTGTTTTTATTGCATGATCTTTTACTAACCTTACTCAACCAAACAATCATAAACATAGATGTGCCATTAATTGTGTAATAAAATAATCATAATTTGTGAAATCATTGTTTTGATACTAAGGTTATTTGATATAGGTAATTGAAATATCTATGGGAATTACAATTTCGCTGCAATTTAATATTTGGCTTAAACATTCATGTATTGCAAAATAAAAAGAAACCCAGTAATTTGATTAAAGCTTCAAATTTCTCTGAACTACCATAAATATACCTACCAGTTCGTTGCAAAGTAGGCATTTCCACAAACGCTTCCTCCAAACCTATACAAATAATTATTTTACAACTTATTTTAGCTGCATTTACATTGCGATGCAGGAATTTTTTTATAAAACTGTGATTGACTTTTATTATTTTTTTTTCCTTTCAAAAACTGAAAATTCATAGTTTTATTTCATTTGTTTCAATTTGTTGTCTGATTATTTACGTTACATCTAAAAAGTTATTGCAACTCTGTGTAATGTAAAATTATTACTCAAAAAGGCTCCCTAAATTATGAAACATTTATTTGCTTTGAACTGCACATAAAATGTAAAAAAAATTTCTGTAAAATCATTAAAGCTTTGTATTGCTTTAAAAGCATTAGAAATAGCTACTCTTAACACATAATCATATCAGTGAAATTATATTTTTTAAGTCTTATCTTTTTCTTTTAAAGATTTTCTTTTCAAAACTTATTACAATTTAAAGGTTAAATAATCAGGGAGTAAATTATTTAGTTTATACGAACTATGTATTTAAGTGTTACTTAAAAAATCTTTAAATACAAGCTGGTCTTTTAAGTACTGTTTGTTTATAGGAAAATTCAGATAGTCATTCACAGACTCCTGTGTTAGAACAGACATCATTTCCTAGTGTGCATGATGAGTCTAAAAATATCAGGTAAGTTTTTTTTTACGTTTAAATTAGTTTTTAAATTAAGGCTATAAATTTTTAAATTTAATTTTTTTTCTAAACATTTATTTCCAAGAATTTTATGGTCACAAAAATTTAAAAAAGTAGGTGTATTTAAGGATATATATATTTATATATCTGGATATATATGTATGTGAGAAAGTAACCAGTGTTCAATATTTAAAAAATAGTTTTTGTTCTTTCTAGTCAGATGGAATTACTAAAAAAGTAGTGCAGCTATTAATGGAAAAAGACTTTTGTTTTGTTGTTGGTTTGTGAAAAAATTTCAACAATTTAAACTATGTGTGCTCTCATTCTCTTATAGACGTTTTAAGCAAAACAGCATAAACCAGAAAACTTATTGCTTTGTCTTCAGAAAAATTCTGTTAATAAATGACGACACTAAAAATTTACATTGGTTTACATTTTTTATGATAAAATATGTAATGATAAGTAGGTTTATGTTATAATCCATGTTTTAATTATTTTTATTTTCCTGATTAATTGTTTAAATTATAATTAATAATTAATACATTCTGTGGTACTTAAAACAATCCTATCCTTTTGCATTAAGTTTTAAAAATCTTCACATTTCTCTTTACTTTATTTAGAGAGCCAGCTCTTGAAGGTGGTTCAGAAGAACAACTTCCTGAGGGCAGTCTTAAGCCTCAGAAATCTGATAAGAAGAAGGTTAAAAGGCGACGGACACAAGATCGCACTCCCAAATTGACTGTCATCAGCGTGGAGGACACTATGGTTGAATGTCAACTTGAATCCACAAAAGGGAAAACTGTCACCTTTAAATTTGATTATACAGACACAAGTCCAGAAGAAATAGCAAACAAATTGGTTAGTATCATGAAAATAATGAAGCATTTCCAAAGGAAGAGGATCCTTATTAGATATATTTTCTTTCTTTTCTACTTATTAATTTTTATTTGCCAATTTTTAAATTAATATTGTGTAGCATTTGATTTATGAGATGTATATATTTAAATTTAGCGAGAACTCATGCATTTTAAAGTAATGAAATTATATTAATAAATAAAAGTAAATTCATTTTTAGACATAGTATCATCTTAGAGAAATATTATCAGAAGCAGGGCATGTGATCTCAAGACCACACACACACTTCTGTGAATCAAAAACTTAATAATCTGACAAAATTTTGATTACAGGATGTAATTCTTCAGCCATTTGTTCAGCGGATTTACCAAATTTTGAATATTTGAGACTGTGCTGGGATCGGCTAATATCACAATTTTAATAAAGATAGATTTTCTTATTCACCCATTTAAAAAAAAACATGTTGCGATTAATTTTCACACATTTTAATTCGCATGGATTCTTATTCACTCACGCGATTCCTATTCATGTGAATTAAAAATCTAATATCTCGATTTGTATTTACGTGTTTCAAAAACACAAAATCGTGATACGTATTCATGCGAGTTTAAAATCCAACTTCGCGATTTGTATACATGCATTTTTAAAATCCAATATTGTGATACGCACTCACGTAGGTGTCGATATCCATTATATTCAAAATGAACGATTGATCTCTCGATATCAAAAATTGATTTTTCCTATTTATACATGATTTAAAAACCACACATTGCGATTTGTACTCACACACGATTTTTACGATTTAAAAATTACGCATCGGGATTCGTATTTACGCGATTTAAAACTCAATATCGTCATTTGCATTTTTGAGATTTTAAAATTCAATATCATAGATTCGTGTAAGAAGTAAGTATTTTCTTGAATAATTAATGTAAAGGTGTGGTATTGGTTGTTTGGTAATTTAATTATGAATGATAGTTTATAAAATTATGTTAAAAAATGTGATTCAAGTTTGATACATAAATTAATATTTATTTTTTGTGCATAAAATTTATGGGCTACAGGACAAAATATATTGTGTATACTTCCTCAAGGCATAAAAAGCCTTATTTTCATGTTTTTTTTTAATTGTATGTGATCAGGCCCTCAACCATCCTGAGCCCCCGGACAATTGTCGCCCCTCTTAAGTATAACCTTGACTGCATCACACATAAATTACATGCATAATTTCCTTAAATAGTCTTTTAAAATAGAAATATCAGCTACTTTTTAACTGAAATTGCAAGATTTCTGAATTTTAATAGAGTTAGCATGTGTACCCAGTCTTACTCCAGTACTGGGATAAGACGGGTAGTGGTGACTCTACACATGATGGTTATTTGACTTTTTCTGGAAAAAAGTCATTTAAGAAGTACATATATGACTTTACAGGAATGATATTAATTCTTAAATCTAACCATTTTTAGGTCGGAAGGTTTAGCTCCAACGGGCCTTCGAATATTAGGTCTCACTCCACTTTTACTTATATTATATATATTTTTTTATATATTTTTTTTTGTTGATACTTATTTCATGTGGTCTTAATAAATTGTTCATATTCTTCATCGTTAAGTGTCTGAACATCACCTAACCTTTTTCAGGACTCTTATCTTTCAACTGCCATAAAAAGAAACACCACTTAATTCTGACCCCAGTCAAATGGTCTTAACTGGTGCTTGCCTCCCTAAATATCCATAGCACATTGACAAGAGGACTTTAAGCCACAACATATTTGACTATTTGCATTAACACACCTATTGTTTAGTCAGCTTTCAGGATAAAACTTGCGACTCTATCTCTGAAAGTGACCCTTAACCAACTGCTCTACTGGAGTGCTTTATTAATGTACCCTATACATCAAATTTAAATGCGCATGTCGAGCTTTATCCATTTCCCCAAACACACATTGTTAGTTGTTTCTGTTAGTTCTTGAACACTTATTTTAAGGTATGTCTAGAATGAAAAGATCACCGGTGAAATGTAATATTCAATAAATTGAAAAGTGTTATAGGTCCTATGTCTGCCTTTTATATTAACCTATAATATTCAAACTTGGTCAGGTATTATGTAACAAACTATAGTACCATATCAAAGGAAATTATAGCCAAATTAGGGGGTCTACGATGTGGCACATATTATGACATACTATGCAACCATATCTAAAAAATTCTTTATAAATAAATTAGGGAGCCCGGTAAGTAATTATAGAAAAAAAGGATTTGTGGCACTTTAAAAGCTGTACATATAAATGACCCCATACTGCCCCTTAATATTAAAGTGACTTTACCATTATTCAGTGGCAAATAAAATACTTATCTTTGGCATGCTTGAAATCGGATAAAATCAAATTAAATTATATCTATTTTTTTTCCAATTCAGGTCATAACAAACTTGTTAGCTGAAAATCATGCCGAGATATTCACAGAGTTCATACAGTTAGTCATTTTACAACTGAAAGAAAATCCAAATACGATACCTGTAATACAATGCTTGGAATCAACACCTGGTAATTCCAGCCCTCCTACTTTAAGAAGACAGGCTTTTAAAGACTATTTAGAATTTGAAAGAGTGAGCATCTTTATACAAAATCTTATTTAATCTTGTTATTGTAATGGTACCTGTAATATATTTTAAGAAATCTTTTAAGAGATCAAAGTAAATGTTTACTTCAAAATGGTTGCTTTTACTATTATTGTTAATGTGAAAATTCAATGTTTCTTTTATGTTCATATTATGTCACTTATTTATTTTATTTACTTATCATAAATTCAATATTTTTTTAAAAATCATGAATTGTATGTTTTTTCTTCCCTAAATATTAAAAAAAAAAATTTCAAGCTTTTTAGTTAATATGCTTGCTATATCTGATGTGTCAAATGTATTTTTAGGAAATTTTTCATAGTAAAATAATTTATTTTAAAAATATATATTATTTTTATTTATATTTTAATAAATTTGAACTATACTGAAATGGTTTATGAATAAGAAAAGTGAACTATGGAAAAAAGTTTTTAACTCTTGGCGTACAGGTTTGTCACTAAATCTGCAGGCCATGATTGTCACAAAGCTATTTGCTATAAAATAACTCTTTAAGGCTGATTTCATAAAATATTTTGTTGTCTTTTGGTCTCTAAATGGTCAGGCATTCAAAGCTTTATAGCTCATGTGATCCACATGATCACATATAATTGGTCATAAATTTAACTCAGTTCAAAACTTTAGTTTATTTTTTTACATTTAATGCTGGAATAAAAATTTGCTTTGTATTTTGGATCACTAGTAAATATATTAGGAACACCAGCTCTATTGTGTGACAAATCAAACATCCAATTAAACTACTGACAACTAGTCATAATAAATCATATTGTTTAGGAATGTCATAAATGTGTGTGAATTTAAAAGATTAAATTACGTATAATATCTAAAGTTTCTTATGGCGGCATAAACAAAGTGAAGTAAACCACTATAATAAGTTTGAAAAATATTTATTTTGTAAAGAATTATTTTGCTTTACTTTTAAAGTGAACAAATCTTTATATTTTGATTGAGAGTTTCAAAAATATACTGTGCTTCTTACCCCCCCCCCCTATATTATTATTTTTTTTTAAAAAAAAGTTCTACTAATTATGCTTTTTCCTTGTTAACAACTATGTCATGCCTGTCTGGACATATGGGTATTCCTGGTAAGGAGTTGGCTTGAGTGCTATTTTCTGGGGCCACATCCTTCAAGGCATCTATATTCAAGCTCTATGGCAAGATTGCTGATGAGCAATGGTGCAACTCGCAAGGTCAGAGACAAGCTAATTGTGACAAGCTAGTGTGCGACAAAAAAAATCTTCTTAAGTTAAACGGGAACAGTTTGAGGCATTGGTCTTCTCATTGGACACTGCATAATACATAATGAGCATTGTATCTGCTCCTCTTTGTCAAGGTTGTCATCTTGAGGAGGAGACTTCACGACATATACTTTGTGAAGTACTGCTCAAAGATTTGAGTATTTAGGGCAGCATTGAATTGAGTTCTGGTTCAGCTATAAAGCTTGTTTGCTAATCATGATTTAGGGTTTGGGTACAATAGACCTCTGGTCGATGTGCCCGACCTCTGAGTCTAATGTCATTATTATTTATTAACAAAATGATTGTTATTTGTTTTAGAATTTGAGTTTGGACAGTCAGGACAGCAGCTTGCCTTCAACTCCTCAGGATCAGGAGAAAGAGTGGTCTCCCAAAAAACAAGGATCTCCCTCGAAGATGGTGAATCCCATTGCTAAAATATCAACAAATGATGCTAGTGCTGTGCAGGCATCCCTTCCTCCCAAAGAAAAACAGGTAATTCTTTTTTTTTCTATTCCAAGAGTGTTTTATTGTTTTGACTATTATACACATTAAATGGTTGTCATTAACTATTTTGAAGTTAATAAATATTGCATCTAAAAATTTTAAGTTTCGCAGGTTTGTTTGAGCAATAATAAAATTTTAAAACTTGTAAAAAGGACATTGCCTGTTAACATGTATATTTATCAAACGCAATTTTAGTATTTTGCAAATAATAAGTTGTAAAAGTTCTCAAATTTCAGGTGTATGATTTTCATAGATTTTGAGCAATTTAAATATGTTCTATTTGTTTCCATTAAGCAGCCTGTGGAAAAAAAAATTTATTTTATTAAAATATTATATTATTAGTGCTATTTATCATTTAAAGGGCACTTATTTATTGATAAATTGCTTTAAATTCAGTAATAAATTCTCACAATGACTAATAGAATGGGCAATCATTTTAGAAAAGTTCTTATATATTCATTTCTCTTTTAGGTAGAGAAACGTGACGAATTCCTCCTTTAGATGTTTAATGTTATATTAGTTATTAATTATAGAAGTTAATTCTTTCATGTTTTGTTTCCTATGTTTATTTAAGGAAAGGCAAAGATAATTGCATTCAAATATAGAATTCTATGAAGGAAATTAGAAAAAGAGAGGGTCAACAAATCTCCTGACATAAACAATAAATTAATAAGAATAAAAAATTTTTTAACGTTTTGGTACAACAAAGTTGACTAGAATAATCAGCTTTTACATACTGTATGCAAAAGGTTATTTAAAAAGTTTGTGATTGCTTTTATTAGGTGAGTGGTTGGAAAAGCGAAAAATAATTGAGCATTCTTCAATAAATACATGTTTATTTAATTTTAAATATCCCCAACATACTTCTAGTAATCTATAATTAAAATCTTTTCCTTCACAGCAATTTCACAGAAAAGTCATTAAACTTCTGTGCAGGTGAGCTAGTCAAGTACGTTTATTAAAGTGAAGAAGTATTCAGTGATTTTTTTTTTAAAAATGTTTACTTAACTAATATGTTTTAATTAAAATTCTGTTCTCAAAAGGGAAAATTTTGTATAAATAATTTAGTTCATAAATTAAAATCCTGTTTTTTTTAAAATTTAATTAGACCTGTAAATTTTTCAATCTCTCTCTATCTCTCCTTTTTTTTTCTTCCTTAAAATTACTTTAAATGAACTCAAATTATTAACAAACTGCCATGCATATTTCTTTTTACTAATTTCGTAATCCACATTATTAGTAATTTTGTTTTAGAATGACAAATATACACAGCATTTCGAAAGCATTTTTTTTTTTTAGTGTCTGAAATTTTATTTTATTTATTTATTTAGCCTGTATCAAAGTATGTTAATCAATGGATTGAGAAAGAAGGATATCTAATTACTAAATTGCAATATTTAGTCTTACTTCATCCTATTACAAAAAAAAATTTTTTTTTTAACTTCAGTATTATGGGACAAGAAGGAAGTCCTGCTGGAAAAAACAACAAAATTAATATTTATGGGGATTCCTAATATTTTTATCTCATGATGTGCAAAAGCTGCCACTTAAACTGGAGGTTTAATCCTTTAGTTTAGTGAGAGGGACCTTATCTCATTACAAAAGCAATAGTCTTGAGAAAAAACTGTGCTGCTTTATGTGACTTTATCAAACTCTGAAGGTGCCTGGTAAGTTTTGTGTAGTAATGGAATGCTGGAAATAGTTCTCAAATTTAGTTAATTTGTGAACAATGAGTTGTGGGATAACTACTTGGCTAGTATCCCAAATGAATGGATGTTTAATGAATGAATTCAATTAATTATAGCAAGGAATAAATTATTAATATTTCATAGGTGCCAACTCTCCTTATCTTTAATAGAGATGAATGCTTTCTCCTAAATGTAATGAAAATTTAATTCCTAAAAACGAACAAACTTTCATGTTTAATATAAAAAAATATGATGAAGAGGAATTATTTCATATAGAGATTATATTTTACTTAATGTGTTTGAATTATTTTTAATCTATATAGATTTTTATTACTAAAAAAATATTTTTGATAAAATATCCTTTTTTTTTTATTTACCAATTTTTACTGAATCTCTAACAAGGGAATTTTTACATTGAAAATAAATTTTTAAAGATTGTAACATTTCGCACAGGAATAAATTAAAAGATAATTTAAGTATTTGCATATAAGTTATAGTGCTAAGTATTAAAAGTATGTTCGGAAACATTCCTATTTCATTGAAAAATAATATCTTAGCACAGTTTTTCTTCATCGTGAAATTCAGTATCAAAAAATTTGAACTTTTACCAAATTTTCTTTTTGGAAATGTTGGCAGCTATGATATTTTTTTGAAGCTTTTTTTTTTGCAAAAAAATAAACTGCTTTTTTTTTAATTAATATCTGTATCTATTTTACTTTATTTTATGTGCTTTGATGTGTTACATGCTTTCTTTTGTTGTGGAGCATGAATTTTATCTCGTAATTTATTTAACAAACAGATGTCTGATTGTTGCTAAATTTTTTGCAATTTATTATGTCTCTGTAATGAAGTTTCTAAATTAAACTTTACACCTGTTAAGACTATAAACTTTACTATTCTAAGCAATAAATTTTTAATAAAAATATTAAGAAATCAAAAGACAAAAGACTTGCTAGCAAACGCTCTGGTCGTTGGAAAAGATTGATAACCATGACTCACCATGTTTGTTGTGAAATCCCATACATGCTGCTTCCTGGATTTCTATGGCAGGTTAGTGTTTGCAGCCATGCTTCTTTTTTGCAATGCTGCCAGCTTCTGTAGTTGCAAATGCATGTTGCTGAGCGGCTGTGAAAATGGGAACAAACATCCTGCTGTAAAACTAGCATTAATCAAAATATTTTTTCTACCATACTTCATTCATGGAGCATATATAACAATTTTGCTTCACTTTGTAATAAAAGTAGCTCAATTTCCACTCTACTTTCGAATAAAATTTTCCAATTTTGCAAATAATATACTTAATGATATTGTTCATGGAAATTCATGTACTAATTAAATTAATTAAAATGTAAATGAATAGTATATAATAATTAAGAAAAAATTAAGTTAATTTTTAGTAGACAGTATTAAATTTTAAAAAATTTCTTTAATGACTTGAATAATTTTTAAAAGTTTTAAAGTCATCAGTTTATAAACTGAATTATTAATTTTTTTTTTAATTACATATATTTATGAAAAAAAAAATTGCTTTAGACTCTTTTCATGTTCTGGATTTTTTAAGAAGATAATAAAAGAAAAAACAGAAATCATACTTCTATTTAAAGAGATCACTTTTTTGTAATAGCTGTTATTTGTTACTATGTATAAAAGAAACTTTTAGAAAATATATCTTATTATCTGACTTAAAATATATCATATTTCATCAACAATTTAGTATGCAGCTTCTTATTGTTTTTAATTAAATTTATTAATTTTTGCATTGTAGACTGAACAGTATTTTGCATTATTTAACCTTCTGTGACTATCTATATTTTTCATATATTTTACTTTTTAATTATTTAAGTAAGCTTGTTATAATAGGCCCTGATTGATTTCCCACTATTCTTTCACAGTTGTTCTGAAAACCATAAATTTTTATACAAATTTATGCCCAAAAAAAGGAAGAAAAAAAATACTTAATAGTCAAAGGGCTTAATTAAAAGAAAACATAATTATAATGTTGATCATTACAGATTATTTTATATAATCTTTTGTTTATTTTCCTATTAATTATGTTGAAAATTATTCCTCTTAAGTTGTCTTTCATACTTTTTTATTTACTCCAACGAAAATCAGTGTAGCAATATGAGATTAATTTCTATTACTTGTATCCATCTTCTTTCATCGTACAACAGAAAATTCTTCAATCAATACTTTTTACAGTGCTGTAAAAAAAGCAAATTTCCTGAATATCTTTTGATTGAATGATCTATTTTTACCATGCTAGAACTCAATCTTAATGGTTTAAGGGTCATACCTTAAATAAGCTAATTAATTAGTGCAGGTGATATTTTAAGTTACAAAATCAGACTTAAATATATGTTTTCTATGAACAAACATATCTTTTTTTTTCCTTGACTGATTTGGAATTCTATACCCTGAAAAAGTGAAGGGGTAGCTGCAATGTTAAAAACATGGTTCCCAAAGTTTAGGCATTCGAAAGATTGGACCTACCCCTTCTTTAAATATCAAGGATCCAAATTTGTTTGGGGGGGGGGATATGTTTAGTCAGAGAAAGTGCGATTTTGAGTCTGATTTTGTAACTTAAAACATCATCTTCACTAATTAGTTAGCTTATTTAAGGTCTCAAACTCTTAAGATTTATTTCTAGTTGTTCATGATGTTTTATTTATGCGTGTTCTAATAAATTAGCTTTCCTAGATGCACTTGCTTTTATCATAAAGCTATTCACTAAGAATTTTTATGCATACACAGTGATTGTCCTTAGTTTTAATGAAGGGTTGTTTCTCACTTTTAGGGAACACACCCTATGCCTGATCCTAAGGAAAGTGATGCTTCAAAATCTGATCCTTCTATCCTTTCTAAACAGCCTGCTAACAAACAATCTGTAATTCTTTTTTCTTTTCTTCTTTAATCAGTTCCTGAATTATTTTAATTTGTGTGAAGGATTTCCAACTATGATTTGCTTGGATGTCTTATTTTGAATTATATTTTTTCTGGTGATTCATTTGCTTGGAGGTTTTGATTATAAAATGAATAGGGATGTAGCGAATTGTGATTTGATCGAAGAGCCAAGCGCCGAATATTTGAACAAAAAAATCGGCTGAATAGTGAATATTAGGTAGTTGAATAGCAACATATTTTTTATTTATAAGTAAGTTTAGTCATTATTGAAAAATAATCAAAAGTTACCTATAATGTTGGTATGGGGTAGAAGAAAAAAAACTATAATAGTTATCCATTAGAAATATTTAAAATAAATAAAAACTGAACAACTATTAAAAAATCTAAGTTTGTAAAGTTGATAAAAGAGAAATAGAAAAAAATATCCATAAAACGTTGAGAGATATAGTCTATCAGAAACTCAAAAAAAGAATATAGTTTAATAAGAACCCTTTTAATTGCCATGTTATAATAAAACAATATTAAAACAAACAAAAATTTAAAAAAAATTCTCAATTTTTAAAACATAAATTGTTTAAAAAAGGATGAATTAACTTGCCTGAATATAATTCTGGAAAAGAGAAAAAAAAATCAGCTGTACATAACTGCCGGTATTAAGTAATAAAGTTTCAATTTCTTCAAATTTCGCTTTCCTATTTGTCTTTCAGAACATAAGCTTACAAGTTTTAGAACTTAAAAAATATGGGTAAAAACTATTTTTAGTAATGTATAGTAAAAACGATTTTAGATTATGCTTTATTAAATCAATTCAAATTTCAAATACTAACACTTTGCCCAACATTCAGCTGAATATTTGGCCAGATATTCGGCAAAAGGACCAATAAGTGGCCGAATCTTCGTTGCATCCCTAAAAATTATTAGATTTGCTAAATTCATGTTTAAAATAAAACAGAGAATCTTTATAAAATAGCAAATTTATATAAAAAAAATAACTTCAAATTCTAATAATACTGACAAGTGCTGATTTTTAATTTTTTTTTTTTTTAAAATTTTGTGATTATTTGACTGGTGTAGTTTTTGTTAAATTTATTTTAAATGTAGCATTTAATGTCTTAGGTGGAGATTCATAATCATGATAATAGTTAATGGTATTATGATGATAATTCTAAGATAATAATAAACTTGTGTCTAATTATGTTACTATGAATTTAAAATAAAAGATCATTGGAAAAGTCTTAATTTACAGCAAAATTTATGTTGTTATTTATCAGGTGCACATGCATATAATAACCTTGTTACATTTTATTTACATCATTAATGAACATAGTAAAAAAATGGAAAAATTAAGCCAGATATTTTTTCCTATTTAAGAATATTAATAAGATTTTAAAAAAAATATGATACATGTATTGTTTCTAAATCATTTAGAAAATACACTTTAAAATCAATTAAATTGGAATTTATTTGATGCAAGCAATTTGCCAACAATTTTGTTCACAACTTATAAAACCTATTTAAGGTACTTCATTCACTTATAAAAAGAGTACCTGAATTAGTTTCTTTAGTTTTTAAGATATTAAAATTGTTGAATCGAATTTAAAAATTGAAGTAAATGATTAAATTAAATTTTTTTCAAAATCTCTATATAGTCACGTGATTTAAGAATGTTACGTTATTCTAAACTTTCTTAGTGATATAACCTTTCCTCTGTATTTCAGATTTCGTTCCATAATTTTTCTATTGCAGTAATATATATTCTTATTATTGTTCCAAAATGTTTTGTTTCATCTAGTTTCTGATAAGTTGGATATGTAAATTTAATTTCCATAACCAATAATTGGGACTTCTTTCAATTTCTTAAAATTATAAATATGTTACAAAATTACTATCATTATATGTGAAGTATGATTATGCATTATTAATTATAATCGCCATATTAATTATAAGGTTTAGTAAATGCAAAAAATAAATTTGTAAAATTTTCAGGCGATTGTTTTTTTTTTTTTTTTAATTCATTTCAAAATAATTGTATTAATGTTGTAGATATCTCCCAAGTTTTTATAAATAATTTCTAACCTTATATATTTTTCGATAGATTCTTAAAATTTCACATATTCACTTTAAAATTTTATTATTACTTTTTAAAAAAATTTATAAACCCTAAATTAAGTTTTATTTTAAAAAAAATGGTGATTATATTCTGCAAGTATAATTTATTAGACTACACAGTATTATATACTAAGCAGCTATTAAAAAAACCCTTTAAAATGTGTTTCTGAATTTGAATTTTTATTTTGTAGCTTAATTCTAGTGAAGTTGGAACCCCTGAAACTATACCAGGTGCTCCTGATTTGATGTCCTCATCTCAGGGCAAAGATTTCCCACAATTTGATGGTCAAAACATGTCTCACATAACCCATAATATTTTGGATCAAACTAAAAGAGTTCTCGATAGGTGAGTACTCTGTAAACAATTATCTAAAATCCTGCCGACTGCTCTCACCAATCATCAGAATTCGAATCTCTCATTCATTGCTTCTTGCTTTGTATGTATGTTGTCCTCTTTTGGAAATAAATTTCTTAAAATATGCATCATATACATCCTGTAAAATCTTTGATTCATAAACATTTCATTCAATATATATATATATATAGTACGATTTGATTCATTTATATTTTTAATGCTACTTGGAAATTTCATTTGCCCGTTATTCAATAAAAACCAAAGATAAGAAGAACATTGTAACAAAGTTTTACTCTGCTTATAAAACACACGTCTCTATGTTAATCATTAAGCTTCATGAAAGCTTAAATGTATGTCTAAATTGTTAATTATATTATTATTAACATAATTATACAGGGTATCCGTGCACCTGGAAAGTCATGAATTTCGGTATTGTGCAAAATTTATCATGAAATGTCATGATTTTAACTATTTTTTTTAAAAAAAAATCATGGAAAGTCATGGATTTAGGTTGCTGAAAAATCTAATTTTTAAAATGGAATTTAAAAATCCCTCTCCCATTTCATGGTGTTCCAAATATCTGAATTTGTAATAAAATCCTCCCTCACAGTCATATTTTATAAAAATATAAAATGTTTTTATCATGTACTTTAAAAGTTATGGTGTTTCTTTCATGTTAAACTTCATTTCTAGAGCGAATTATCTTTTAAACTTCTGTGATTTCGGAATTTTTGTTATTATTTATTTTATTTTATCAATTTAAAATTCTAGCTGAAGCAAGCCAGTCATTGGCAAATTTTTAAATTACGAAATGAGAACAGAAAAATAGGAAGTATTTCCTTCGTTTCGGATGAACAAGAAAAGTATCTTTAGAATATAATTCTACTGAAAAAAATTATTTGCTTTTGTATTTTTTTCAGCTATTTTATTGCTTCAACTCTTTCTTTACTCTGTTTTAATTTAAAATCTTTAAATATGATGATGCAGAGTATAACAGTGTTGGTTATATCTATCATTTCAATTTATGTTATTATAATGCTTTTTTAAATTTCTTGTTGTGTTTTTGTTGAAGAAAATAGTAACTTAGTTAAGTCATGAAAAATTCTAGGAATTAGTCATGTAAAGTCATGAATATGAAAATTTAAAATGTAGCTGATACCCTGATTATAACAAAAATATTTTACACTCTGTTGACCTGTTGCTTTAAACTTTCTGTTTTGTACAGCTCTGTTCCTTTCAGACTTTTGTGGCCCACAGAAATAGTTACTAAAAGGAAATAGTTGGCACTTTGAAAAGCATTCTACATTTATACACAGGGCTTTAGTGTTTTATGTAATATCTATCTACTTATCTAAAATTCAACTTTTATGTTTTTAGTAGCAACAGTAGCAGTGGTGGAAGCACCCAGCATTCTCAACAGCAACGACCTGTAGTGCCAGATTTAAGTAGTTTACAGTTAAAATTAGCTCAGCTGACATCTACTGGTAGTAATATTCCTGCTGATATGTCTACAAGTAATATTCCACCCTCTCAGCCAACTTCTGTAATGGTATGTAATTTTAAAATTGATTATATTTAGATCGTAAAACTTTTATGTAATTTGTAAATAATATTTGCTGCATAATGTATGTTAATTAATCAATTTTGGAGTTACTTTTCTCTAATATAAAATGGGTGACACAGAAAGACATCGAAATTTATTGTATCATTATCTTTGTCAAAATCATTCTCTAATTTGCATTAATTTCATCGTTTTAATATTTTTAGTGCCACTTATATATATATATAATAATTTAAATGCACTGAGATCTGAATGTTTCATTTAGAGTAAACATAAATTCAAATATTCTGAATCTAAGTATTCTGAATCAAATTTTAAAGTCATTTTCTTTCGCAGTTTGACATGGTATCTTAAACTAAACTCAGTGGCAGGACAGCCCATAGAAAGCCAATGCCTACTGTGCCCATCTCAGTTTTCTTGACCTTGGGCTCTTGGGTGTAGGAGCAGATGTTCTGGTTAGGTGGTCAGCCGAACACGGAACCCCCAGTGTTTAGTTCCCAAGCATGCTTGGTACTCATTTATCGACCCACTGAAGGGACATGGTATCTTAGAAAGAGCATTAACAGTGCCAATTAAAATATCAATCAGGATAAAAATGTGTTATTTAATTCTTTATATTAGATAGTATTAGAATTTTTGTAGATGAGGGTATGTGCTGTCTTTCCATTGTAGCTATTATAGTTATATCATAGCAAACTTTATGTTAAAAAGCAAATGTGTGAATACAAAAGAAATACACCTGGAATCATTTTATCTGTTTATTTTAATTATGTATCATGCACAATATAGCTTCTGCTGGTACACTAAACTCTACATTTAAATTAAAGGGAATATTTATTTATTGTAAGAAATTTTTCTGCTATTCTATTCTCTTAAGTTATTTAATGTTATATTATTTTCAGTCTAATTCAACTTCGTCTCTTAATTTGGAAACAACTAACAGTGAAGTGTATCCTGTAAGTACACCAGCAGTTCAAGTACCGGCTGTCATTCCAGTAGTGTCTACTCAGTCTTCTTCTTCTAAGATGGGTTTACCCATTGATAACATATCTACTCGACGCCACACCGTTGCGACCAACATTGAAGGTCTCAAACTGGAATTGCAAAAAATTCATTCCCCTTCAGTACCATGTGTTGGTTTGAAGAGCAACATTGAACAGGGTCTTCAAGCTATTTTCTCCATCAGCAGTAATGCTCAAACTGTTACTACTCCCGCTCATTCCAATACCAGTAATCATACGCACCAATTGCCACCTGTGACGCCTACTGTTATGTCTCCCTCCGCTGAAGTGAGCGAAAGTTTAGTAAAACCTCCCATGGAGTTGACTAAAGACCCAACAGGTAATTGTCCGAATTATATTTATTTTTATAAACTGTATACAGACGTTAAAAACCAAATCTGAATGCAATACAACCTCAATTATGTCTCAGTGGAAAATCAACAGCTTTTTCATGTTGATTTTTTAAGCATGAAACTATGAGTGAAATTATTCAAAAAAAGTAGTGACTTTAACAGAGTTTAAAAAAATGGCATTTTATTTTTGCCTCATCTTAAATAATAATATAATATGAAATAAAAAGTCATTGGTACATCATTTTCTAGCAGCTGAATGTTGTGTTTGTCATTACAAAAGTTATAGCGCCACATTATCTATAATAATAACAACAATGAAACTTGCTTCCTAATGCATTTAACCTACTCTAGAAAGAATGTCAGATATTAAAACTAGCATTTTTAATCATATGCTGGCAAATTGGAGTTGTAATGTATTTTTTTTAACACCCATTTCTGTGAAAAATATGGATAGAAAGATATTTTATAGTTTATAAATTATTTTGCCACTATAATATGAAAATTTACTAAATTTATAATAAATTACAATTTTGCAATGTACTTCTCATGAAATATATTGGTGTATCAAACTGCTATTTTTAGAAGAAGCCACATATTAAACAGAAATTATACAATGGCTTTTTGGGAAAGTTATTTCCCAAAAAGCCATTTATATTTAAAAAAAAGCCAAGTATATTTAAAAAAATTATTTTTGTAAATTTGCCGGTAAACAATAGTAAAATTGACTTATATTAATTTTTAAATATATATTTTTTTTTTCTATTTCTAATTTTAAAAGAATTTACTAAATGTAGTTGTTAATATCATAAAATTGGTGAATTAATTCATTTAAAATCTATGTCAAACATGTTTATTAGGAATTTAAACAAACTAACATTAAGTACAGTTTATGTTACAATTAATATAAGATTAACCCTATGGCAATTTATGAGAAAGTTTCTACACTAAACATTGATGAATGTTAAATTTTTTATAAGGTATTTAAAACATTAAACTCATATAAAAGTATTTATATGCAAATATAATTACAGTTATTGTTAATTCTGTTGAATTAACAATTGTATTAAAGTAGAAATTATAATTAAATATAAAAAATCTCCCCTTTTTATACATATTTTGTTTTATTTTAAAATTAGAGCTTTCACATCCTCAAAAAATTTTAAATGATTGATTTGATTAAGTTTAAATTATAGTTTATTATTTAAATTTCCATTTTACTAAAATTGAATTATTTTGTTGTTATATTTTATAATTCATTCTTGTTTATTTTAAAGTCTCAATACTGCATAAAATCTAGATTATAGCATTGGATTGATTTATAAACAGAATTGCATAAAGAAAAGAAAAATTTTAATGTAAGGAAAGTATTCTAAAGATAGTTGATTAATTCTATTTAAAATTATTTTCCTTATGTTAAAATGATTTCTTTAAATCAACTTCCAGCAGATCTTTTGTTAGTGTCTACAGGTCTATAATTAAACTATATTTATGTAATAAAAGACGCTTTTTTTTCCTCCAAGGCATTTTCTTGTCTACAAAATTAACTCATAAAAATTATATTTAATAACTAGTACCTATTTAATATTTGACCTTACATATTGTCTTCTACTTGTTATTTAAAATAAAATAATATTTTTACAAATTCAACTTTTTGTTTTTGATGTAACTGTTTGATCCATTGATAGAACTGTCGAAATTACAATTGTTTTTGTTGGGTTTTTTTCATTCAAAAATATTATACAGTAGGGAACTGATTATCCGGAACCATCGCTATTCCGGATAACTGATTTTTCCGGTTTTCTGAATCGCTACAAAAAGCCGTTTTTTTATTGTTAAACCCAACTGAAAAAAAAATTATTTGGAAATAATCTTAAAAAGAAGAAAAAACGATGAAGTAATACACTAATGATTATTTCCAAAATGATGGTAAGTTAAAAATCTTTCAAAAAAGAAAGAAAAATCCTAAAATCTTATGAGGAAAAAAACATTTTTTAAAAAAAAAATGGTGGGAAAATTTACGAATTTCGTTCCGGTTTTTTGGTTTTCCGGTTTTCTGATTTCCGGATAACGGGTTCTGTATTGTACATACATTTTGTCTTTTTACAACATATTGATCAGGTATTTCTTTATACTAAAGAAGAAATAACCTATTATCGATTGCAACCTTGTATAACCTCAGAAAATTGTGTTTTGCTCTTTTACATGAAAGGTTATGCACCTCTATTCTAGATAGAATGAAACTTCTATCAAAATGCTCAAATTTAGCATACTATATGTATTTTGCATTTAAATTTGTGGAGCTAATGTGGAACATTATTAACTTTTTCAGATACTCTCAGCAATAATACTCTTACTCCAGAAATTTCAGGCATCACAAATATTTCACGTTTCAAAGTCACTCCTGTAATTGAAAGTAAACCTGACGATATTGCTTCTATTTCAAGTCCAAGCGTTTCCTCTCCGACCGCTACAAACCCTGTAGAGCTTAATGTGAAAAAGAAGGGTCGTTTTCAAATCACACGCGTCGCTGATGAAACATCTAACACTGTTCAGATTCTACCAAATGAAGAAGCTCCTTTTTATGATTCTAGTTTACCTAAGGCAATAGTTACAGAAGATGTGATGTGTTGTCTTCCTGGTCTTACAACGATTTCTGATAGCTCTGCTAAGCCTTTAATCAGTTTAACTTTGGTCTCAACCGCTCCCCAGTTAGTTATGTCAGATTCCCTTCTTAGCGTCTTCACCCCAGTCTCTAGAAGTGAACAATTAGTCAATGGAAGCTCTGTGCCAGTATGTAAAGTTCCTCCTAATGTGTTTCACAGCCAGTCTTGTATAACAGAGAATGGGGCTGCTATCATGAGTGATCGAAATTTGCACACCGAAGAAGTGACTGTCATGCCACATCATGAGCAAATAGTGGTCAATGATAGCAATTCTGTTCCTACTTCTAAAGTGTTACCATCTAGTCTTGCATGTAGTAATGTTTCCGCAAATGAGACTGCACTCACGCCAGGCTCTCTCTCTGCTGCTGAAATTCATCCATCTTCTGTTATCACGCCCCATCAAGTGACTTCATCTTCTGCTGAATCTAGAATCTCCTCTTCTTTTGTTGCTCCCCAGCAGCCAATCTTAAAAGATGCAAATGCCAATCCTTTACGATGTACTTTCAATGCAGGCAATCATCAGGCAAGTGACAATTTGTTTATTGGCATGCCTGCATATTTAAGCCTATTTTACTACACCTCAAAATAGAAAATGAATTTTTGATAAAAGTTTCGTTTGTTAATTTATATTATTTATTTACCAGTTAACTTAAAATGGAATAGAAAATGAGCTTAATAATAATTTATTTTTTATTAAAATAATAAGTAATTAAATAAAAAGTTAAGCAATGTTTTGATGCTTTTTAACAATGCTATTAAATTTTAGTATTTTTTTAAAAAAATTTCTTAAAAACTCTTTTAATACGTGTTCGGTTAATAATTTGTTAGGTAGTTAGTATTACTTTTAAACCTTTCTAATCTTTAGTCGATTTTATTTTCGAAAAAGAAAATAATAATAAATAAATAAGACAAAACTTACATTTATTAAGTATAGAATTTGACCAGCTTTATTATTTTAAATAAATAATTGAAAAGTCTAAGGATGTTTCAAAAGCACATTTTTTTCAGCAAATGTTTTACTGAAGTTAAAATGTCTTTAGTTCGTTTCGCTCGTTTTTATGTTCGTTTTTTATTTTTAATGCACGTAACTAAAATATTTTCTTACAGTTTTATTATTGTTTTTAAACTTATAAATCTTAAGTAGGTTTTAAATTTAAAAAAAAAATTAAAGTAAGGCTTGTGTTTGTTTTTTCTTGAAGACATCGGTCTTAAGTCAATCCATCTTTATTTTAATTGAAAAAATTAAGCAATGCTATTAATGTTATAGAATCATTTTTTTAGAATTAACATTATACAGATTTTCATACATCGTCTGTTTTAAAATACTTTGTAAAACTGTGTCCTAATTGAAATTTCTTAGTAGTACCCCAAAAAAAAAATTGGTGTGGCAATAGTTTGGGTAGAAACAGGGTTGTTATGATTTTACATTATCCGAAAAAACCTGGGTGGGAATTTCAGAAAAATCCCTTTGTAAATCTCAACTGAGTTTACTTCATAATTCAGTGTTTTCATTACAGAAAAAAAAAATGGGAGAGAATTTCTCACCCTTTCTCAAAAACAGGGTGAGATTTCAAAAAGTTAAGTGAGATTTCTTAAAATTAAAAAAACACGAATAGACATGGAAAAAATTATTTCTTTAATTATAATACATTTTTAACATCTTCTAATTGAATATTTTTGATGCATCATCATATGGAAAACGTTCTATATCTACCTTTTCATCAGCTATTATATTTATTTGCCTGAAAAATATCCGCATTTGTTTCGTTTTGACTGTTTCTACCGACATTTGTTCCATTTTCATTTGTCCGTTACGGAGTAGAAGATGTCGCCTTAACAAGAAGGTATTAGTCCATTTTACATTCATGCACTCAAAATGTAATCGTCTTACATGAAGAAACCTTACCTACGGTGAAAACATGGTTGCAGAGAAATGTGTTCTGAAAGGGGTTCTGTAGTTCTGGAGGGCGGTGTTCTGCTGTTTGCACCGGNCTGAATAATACTGGTAAATAGGGAAGCTAGATAACAAGGACTGATGTTCAAAATAATGAAAAATCAAGGAAGAAAAGTGAAACGGATTTTATTCAAAATGGCAAAAGGCGAAATTTTTTCCAAAATTCGCGCATTTTGAAATTGATTAATAGAGTGAGCGAACTTCTCGCGTTAATCATTTTTTATTGCGAGAAAAGAAAAAAATATGCGAGATTCTCGCGCTGTAGTGAAAACACTGTAATTATATTTTATTACTAACAAATCATCTCTAGATATTAAGTATACAATAGTATAAATTACAAACTTCATACTTAAATGACATTTTAATAAATTTGAAAATGTGCAAATTAGAAATAAAACAAGAATTACAGATAAACGTATACGACGTAACTTAACTATTCATATTTACACATACTTCCTTTACTTTTATATTCTACTGAGCTTTAAAATTTCTAATTAACCTTTTGGAAAATTCGTATAATTAGATTCAATATATATAATACAATATAATGTTATACATATAAATGATTCACAATATAATTGAAATTTGTTATAGCAAGATACAATGTATAATATTTTTAGAATAATTCAGTGAAATAAGCGCATTATTTATTAAAATATATTTTAAATAATATTTTTACATACTTGCAAGCCTTGTTATATGCAGTTACTAATAATTTTTTTTTAATATAACTAATTTAACACAATTTAAATTAATGGTATTTATTAATGCAGTAAGACTTTCTCTACGACCATAAAAAGTAAAAATGATGGAGGAAAAAACAATTAACTTTTGAAAAAATCCAATTAAGCGCTAAAAACCCTCAATAAAAAATATTTGAAAAAAACAGTAGATATTTAAAAATGAATAAAAAAAACTGGTTATTTACATCCTTGAATGTAACTAAGACATAGTTGAGTACTAATTTCTTTAATTAGAATCTAAAATCAAGAAGTGTGAAACTTGTACTAGTATGAATTTGTAAATTTATCAATATTTTTCAAGCACTCATATCATAGTTGCTAAACAGCTCATTTAAAAATATATCAAAGTATAAAAATGGTTCTAACACAAAATATTTTTATCATTTCCTTAAAATGTTTATAAATATTAATTTCTAGTTTTCCTGTATTTAAATTTATAGATGTTAGAAATTTTTTGGTAAATTTTGCCATTAAATTTATTTAGACGAATTATTTTTTTCCCAGCATTAAATAAAATTGAACAGTAACAGCTAGTTTTAAAAATATTTTTTAAAACAAAAATTTGGATCGTGTTTTTACTATTTCTATAGCGATTCTCTCAACATGTTTTTCAAGTTTCTGAATTACTTTAAAAAAGTGATAACAATTGAAAAGAAACTGTTCCTAATCTCATTAGTTATTATCATCAATCGTTTCTAATTCTCATCAATTTATCATTAGGAACCTTCAATTGAAGACAACCAAAATATTGAATTTCTAGAATGTAATGACGAATATCTGAAAGTAATTCTGGAAAGGTAAGATATTTTTTATTAAAATGTTGTTTTAATAATAATGCGAGATGAGGGAAAGTTTTAGATAAAGACACTTAAATTAATAACTCATTGTATGAAATTCTGTTTCAGTTGTTTTTCAAGTTTTTATATCTTAACAGCATATGTCTTATTATATATAAAAATGTAATGTCTTCCATTGTTTACTCGTGCATTTTTACCGACCGGAAATTCACGTGGTAGGATCCAGTTTTTCCTCATTCATTCCATATTTGTTTGTTGTCAACATAAAATTAACAAAAGTCATAAATGTATTGTTTTTCTATAACTATTTTTGTGTCCCTAATTTTAAGTTATTTCCCAAACATTGATATACTGTTATAAATTACAGTTAGAGACATGTTAAATGATTTAGAACTTAACCGTCAGCTTCGTGCACAATGAGATGCAAGCAAAAATATTTAATATATCCACCTGTATGGTAAGCAAAAATATTAAATTACGATTGTGAACATATCAAATTTGTTTGAACAATGTAAATGTTATTTTAAAAAATAATTACTTCGGTTCACCAATAGATCTAAATATTTATAAATAATAATATTTGGACATGGGAAATGGAGACTCAATCGTAAGCAAACACCATTACTTTTAGTACATAAATGTTAAGTGAATAATTTAGAAAAACTGTTTTCTGCTAAGAAACAACAATTATTGCGAAGCAATCATCGGGGTTGGTGAGCAATCGCGAACAAGAAGGTTAGTCCCCGAGTATTTTAAATTTAAACGACTACTTCTATTATTATTGTTATATCTTATTAATAGGTATGGATGGAGAAAAAGTTCTGATAACCCTCTTTATTTTTACTTACAAACTAAGGTTTTTTTTACTAATAATTGCTACTTTATATTCTTAATATTATGTTTATAAATAAATTGCATCAATTTATTAATAAATTTCTCGATTAGAAATAAAAGATATAGTATGCATTATTTTAGAATTTCTGTAAATTTTTCACCCAAAATCGTAGCAATAGAATGTCATTATACTACACATTTTTAGATAAATAATTTAATAGCTTTCTTCTTGACTATAAAACTATGTCTTGGTTTTAGTGTAGTATGCCTTGATATTAATTTTCAACGTTTCAATCAGTTAAAAAAAATGGGGAAAAATTTAAAAATTCTTACAATATAAATTCATAACTCCATAGTTAATATTTTGAGGGAAAAAAATCTAAAGGATCTCTTAATCTTTGTATATTATTTTCCACTTAATAAAGCAAGGCATTTTTTTACCATATTTTTCAATACATATTGTGCTATAAGATAATAATCATTACGGGTTTCAGACAAAAATTAGCAAAGCTGGGATCAAAATTTTAAGAATAAACAAAACAGTTATTTGTTTTTTCCCCTGTTAACATAATCAGTGTAAAACATAATTGAAAGAAATTAAATCTGGGAGCAAATATTAAAGTGATATGTGTTTTTTATGCTAAAAATACTTATGTTTAAAAAAGGTGTGTATTGTTTTATGTTTATAGGCAAGAACAAGAGCGTCAGGAATTATACAGGCGTCACCAGCAAGAGCTTCAGTCCTATAAAATGCATCATTTACGGACACACAAATGTTGTTACCATATCAAAAACTCTCAAAATCCAGTTGTATATAGTCAAGACAGAAATGTTCACCATTCCAGGGATGGGAGCCCATCCGTTAGCTCTGCACTCAATCAAAACATGAACCAAACTATTGAACCACAAGCCTCTAATCTCATTAGTAATAAGCAAAATAATTTCAATTCTTTCAATGATGCAATCTCTGATAACAACAGTTTGCAGAATGACCTTAGATATCAGTCGGACTCATTAAAAGCTATTCCCGCCAGCAGTTCGAAGCCTGGTGTTTCTCAAGAGAGCCCCAATAGGAACATTATGAATTCAACAATTATTAAAATAGATCAATCTTCTCTTCCAATGGCTTCTTCCAATAATGATGTGAAATTTTATCAAGCCCCCTCCCTTATATCAGTATCAACAATAAATCCTCAGCCTGTGAACCATGAACATGCACAGGTACTTAATGTAGCATTACCCTGTTCAGAAAGTTCAGATAATATTGTCCGTACATCCCTTCCATGACCAGCGGTTAAAGAGCCTTGAATTAGCTCTGTGTTCCAATTGTTGATATAAAAATGTGATAGCTAATTGTATTTTTCTTTATATATATATATATATATATGGCCAAACTATAAATTGTTAATTCAGCTTTGTTATTCTTGAGTGAGAAGAATTTTGCATAACTATCTTATCTTGTGAAATAGAGCATTATTACATTGGCACAATTTTCTTCTTTATCCGCCTTATAAACTAATGCAGTTTTTATACTCATCCGTAATTATCTTGTTAAAATTTACTTATCGGTTATATCGTATCAAAAATAAAATTTAAATAAGATATATCTACATTTTTGTTGTATTTTATTCGTTACAAGAACACTTTAAGTGTTCTTTTTTTTTGTTCTGTGAAGTAAGTTTTGTTAGCAGATTAAAAGAGATATAACTTAGCATTTGTATTTATTAGAATCTGACAACAACAAAAAAAAAATCATTAGATTAGTCATAAGAAAAATGTTCACTAAATATGTAAACTTCAAAAAAAAAAAAAATTCAAATTAACTGCCAATACAAAAAAGTACATTTTACAGCTACATTCTGAAAAAAAAAAAAAAAAAAAAAAAAATTCATCTGGCAACAAAGAAAAACCCCATCAAAATAGTCAATTTGTTTACAAATGTCTGTTAAATATGTAAACTTCAAAAAAGACATTTTATAATAACTGAACCATAGCCAAGAAAACTAATAAAAATTAAATGTTAGCAATAAAATAACCGATAAGTATCCTTAATGCAAAATCTGCCCTAGTACTCAATCAACATTCAAAGTAGATTGATAATCTTCTTAGAGCTATTTGAACAGATTTTAGTTGAGCAACTTATTCTATTCTATTAAACAATTGAACTTATTCACTTATTCTGTTCTATTAAAAAATTCAACTTATTCTGTTCTTCTTAAACAATTGAAATACTTTTAATTTTTTAATCTATAAGAATTTAACAAATATTTTTTAAAATACTTTTTAAAAAGTATCATTATGATGTATTAGACATTTTGTATATTCCTTTGTTTCTCAAATATTAAGGAATTTTGATGTTTCAAGATGGTTACCAGATTTTATTGTTTTTAATAAATATATTTTTTACATTCCTCAGAGATGAAAAATTACTTTAAAAGTAATGATCTAAATTACAAACATTTTCTTCATTGAAAATTTTAATCATTAATCAATTCATAGAAGGTTCAAATGGTCTAAATAATTCTTAATAATTTTTTAACAGTACTAATTGCCTCTTAGATTAAAACAATTGCTATAAGTTAACCTCATTTTAAAATTTGCCTTTAAACATACAATACAAAATAGCTATTTTTAGCAAAATTATTAATAATTGATAAATTTTAAGCAGAATGGCATTTTATCTTCAATAGAAGAGAAGAAGTCATTAACCAATTCTTTCTTTATAATCACAACTTGATTTCTGAAATTTTAATAAAGCACGTTATCCCTCTCCTTAATGAAGAACTTTAAAGAAACTGCATTAAGATATGATTTTAGTCGTTTATTGCAGCCATTGCAAATACAATGTGTGACCTCAGAAGACGAACTGTTATGTTCAAGTTGCGTACACTTACCAATAAAATATGACCTATATTTAAATCAAGGTTAAAATTAGTTTTTCTTTCTTTTTTCCAATTTTTTTTATTTTAAATTTATAACAAGCATACATATTCATTAATAATAATAAAGGTTCTATTCCACATAAAAGAATATTATTTAAATAAAATAAATGAATTGTAACTAAAAGGGGGAAAAAACAGCTTTTTAGAAAAATTTCATTCGTGTTAAGAAAAGTGGCTATGTTTATTTTCAATTTTAAAGTTCTGTCATAATATTAAGTTTCTTTTTTTTTCTTCTTTGTTTACTTAAAAATAAATAATTGTGTAGCACTTCTTGTTTACGTCCTCAAATTTAATCTTTAAAAATGTTTGTGCACTTGTTAAAATCCTTTTTAAAGAAGTAATAATATGTGACTTTAAATGGTTTTATATTTGAATGTCCCACATTCTTAAACATGTGATAAATAAAATATTTTCTATTATAAAATATTATGTTTAAACCTATGCAAATGTTTTTGACTATGTGCAACTTTTATGCTCTAAAACCATCTCATTCAATAATGTTAAAAATTATTTATTTGGACTGATATCTGAAATTAAGAAAAAAGTACATGAATTCCAATCTATGTATAACTTTGTTAGCATTTATATTTATTGATTTTTTGTTGATTGTAATAAATTTATTTATAGTGTAAATTGTGACGTTACTTTACCCTAAACAATTTTATTTTATTTATTTTTTTCAGTAGCGTGTTTTTTTCTCTTCTGTCATTATTAAAGTAGTGATTTTGTATAGTTTAAATTTTGTTGTTACTTGTTTTATTTTTTAACAGATAAGTTGTTATGTTATTTTCCTTTGTCTGCTTTTCTTTCAAACATTTGTATTTTTCTTATATATCATCTAATACTGAATTGAATTCAGATTAATAAATATTTCCTTTTTGAATTTACATGTAATTGATTGATTAAAAATAATTTATAAATTTCTTTCATAACTCTTATTTCTTGGATGCTATAGTTTTTGTAAAATTGATCTGAACACTATCGTTAATAATTTTTTTTAAAAATTTATTCATTAACAACTTTATGTTGAACACACTATTTAATACATTATAGCGAATTTATTTCAGTTTTATTTGCCAATTATTCTCATAAAATTATTTTTTCTGATTTTTTTAAATCTTAAATTTTTTTTCAAAAAGCAACTTTCTAAGATTGAATATAAAATGAATTTTATTTATAAAAAAATAATAAATGAAAAAACTAATTTTCTAACTTGAAAGTATGCAGGGATTCAGAGGGAGAAATATAATACTTTCTTCTCACGAAGAGCAATACATTTTCTTTTTATTCTTAGTTTTTTTTTAAAAAATATATATATATATACAAAATAATCTTCTCCGCCAAATAAAGTTTTGTATCATTGAAAAACAGTATGCTTCGAGTGACTTATAGGATTTAATTGTTTATAGAAATATCAAGAAATGTATCAAAAATTATATATCAATAATTTCGTTCATATTTAACATACTTCTTAATTTCTTCTGAGTTTGAGATGCTTTAAAACAGGGATGCAGCTATGTTCACCTGTTTATATTATTTCTACTTTTGGTGTATTTTTTCATTGATTCTTATCTTTTGTGTCGTTTAAATTTTATAATGCAAATTCCATTTGTAGATTCTATTTCTTTAAAAAAAAGTAGAACGGATTGAATTTGGGTGCATTCTCTTTCTCCATTAAAATATATAATTTTCATCAAATTATTCTGCAAAAAAACTCTTAACCTGTTAGATCCGCCTTCCAAATTATCATTGCCTATAAAGGCAATCAAATTGTCTTTATTGCCTTTTTTTATGCATAGTCAGTGAAAACAGCTCAATTCACGGTGTTTATTGTTATCAATAAATACAATCAGTATATCCATAATCAGTTTTTTTTTTCTGACGGAATTTATTTGTAAAAACTTATAGAATTATACTTAAATTGAAAAAGAGAAAGTAAATTAAAGAGAACAAAAGAAACGTGAATGTGATACTGGACTTATTCAAGAGACTCCCTGCGTGCATTTATAGGATGAATTTTCTGTAAATAACAGTTATCTGAATGGAGGATCATTGCGGAAATTGCCTAAAATTTGTGTTCAGAGTTTATTCGATTACGGAGAAAGATTCTTAGAAGTTGACATCCCTGCAAAGGTTCATTTGACATTCGAAGAAAGTCAACCTCTTACCTAGTATTTTTTTAAAAATATTTTTATGTGTATTATTTGCTTCTTTAAAGCTGATATATTATCTTATTGTATACATGCTTATAGCTTTTTTTTTATTGACAGAGTATAAATGTTACTTAAACAATGCATATTTATATATTTATTATAATAATATTTTTGAAAGAAAAAAAGGACTATGATAATTATAATTTAAGATTATTTATTTTCTAGCCTGTAATAACTCTTCAATTTATCAGGCCAATCATGCTTGGCTAACCCACTGGAATAAAAAATATTAAAGTTTCAAATCTGTAATTTTGAGAGAAAAATTTAATAAATAAAGCTTGGCCAATTATAATTTAATAATAAGTCTGGCCAATTCTTCAAAATGCTTTTTATCTTTATCATTAGAGTAATCTTATGTTAATATATTAAGAATGCAATTTACGCATTCTTAACAAGGGTCTGAAACAACTGGTTCTGTGATAGTTTACATCTGTAAAAGTTTTTTTTTTCCTCCTAAAACAAGTATTGTGCTACTTTTATGCCATCAAAACTTATATGTATATACTGTGTGTACATTGTAAAATCTGAATTGACCGCATATTTCCCTTTGTGTTGGGTTTTGCTCAATAAAATTTCATTTGCTGTATCATTTTGTGATTTTATTACAAGAGGGAAGGAGACCGCATATCTCTGCCTCATTTATTATTAAGCCTGAGAGGCTCTCACATGACCCCTTAAATGTTACAAATAAAATAAAAAAATTTATGTCTTTCCTTAAGAAATGTGTTTTAAAAATATGAGTTAAAAATTGAAATAAATGCAAGCTCAAATTTACTAATAAATCATAATTTACTTTTGTTATTTATAATTTAAAATAATTTTTTTCCAAACATCATGGGTGCAAGCCTTCCGTCCCCAGGACGGATTTCCGTCTTTCGAAAATGTCCGCGGACGGAAGTAAGACCGAAACAAGACTGACTCGAAGACGGAAATCGGAAAAAAAATTTTCTGTCCTTAAAAATATTTTTTAGGTCTACGTTATTGGTCTACTTTCGTATGTCCTGTATTTATTTTTTCAAAAGACAGATGAATAAATATTTTTTGTACAGTATTTAAACTTGATGTATTATGGTAAAGCTTTCTTAGATAGTTTACATATGTCGAGGGGGTATTGTGTATGTTAGGTATTTCAGTCTTGGCCTTTTTTCCAACTTGCACCCATGCCAATTTTGCTTAAAAATACAATTAATGGGGACTCCAACAGTTCTGTGCCTACGCCAGGGTTGTTATGATTTTACCCAAACTGAAAAACTCCAATGGGTTTTTTCAAAAAACCGACTTGAAAAAAATCTAAGTGTGTTTTTTTATAATTACATTTTATTATTAACAAATCAGCTCTAAATATTAAATTTATAATATACTCTGAACTTTGATATTTTAAATTAACATTTTTAACAATGCATAATATTAGAAATTACAAATTATGTATATTGGAGATACTAATTCACAATTGAAACTACTCTTATAACAAGATTACACATATCATACTTTTAGACTCACTATTCAATGAAATGGAATAATAATTTATTTATAAAGTACATATTTTAATAACTATTTTCCCCATCTGCAAGTCTTATTAAATACAGTTCCAATTGTTACTTTTAAAATATTGCATCTTTTAACTTGAGAAATTTTTACTTGTTCTGATGTATTCCTTGTTGAAATACTAGAACTTATAATAAAAGCTCTCTTTCATCGTACGTAACATAGGACACAATTACACAGTTGGAAAAGTAATGCAATGCACTGTTGCATAAATACATTTTCATGTTAAAGATTTACTCTTAAAATGTGTGTCTTTTATTCGAGTTAAAATAATTTATTTCTTCACTTAAACATTTAGTAGTTTTTTATAACTCTATTCTAAAACAGAATCCATAGGTCGGGATAGCCTGGTTGGAAGGGCACTGGGCCCATGTCCAAGTGGTCGTGGGTTCGATCCTTGCCGGCCGAAGACTCACTAAATGGTGACTGATGCACGTTAAATATGTC